ATTTCCTCCCATGTTGAGTGAGACCTGAACCAGGATTTATTTTGATTCATTTGTCATCTAAAAGAGATTAGAGCGCAAACTACCAGGGTGCACCCAATAGATTTAAATTTGATATTTAGCACTTGGCCAAGTATTGTTGTTTTTATTTCATGTATTATTGGTGTAATTTTATTTTCTTAATTGTATGTCTTGTCCACTTGTGAGTTTATGATTCATGTTACTAAAGTTTAATTGTTTTTTAAACACTCAACTGTGTATGTGTGTCATTTAAACACCCATCGTGCTCCGACAGCCGAACCTATTGGCCCATCTACCTAAAACATATTGTACCCTTCTCAACTGTGTTACAGTAACACTTAATTTTTACTTCTAAAAACAATTTTAAAAAAAAGATTCATTTTGTAATTGAAAGGGCCCCAATTTTTATACATATATTTATATTTCTTTGAAGAAGAAAAAAAACTATTTTAACCCCTGTCTGTCAGAGGGTGTGAAAACTTTTGCAAAGTTGTGTATTTCATTGGAAATGTAAATCCAGACATATTTTATGTAAGTATTGCCAAAAAACAAACAAAAAAATGTGTCTCTCCATAAATCAGCAGACAGTGTAACTAACGATAACTAGTAGTTTCTGATGAGGTTTCTACAAACAAGCCCATTTTGACTCATGATACGTATCCACAACCTGGACACTTCTCCTACTTTGACCTTAATCTCCTTGCACCACCTTGACCGATCATAGATTGGTTTCAATGTACAGATAAATGTCACAGTTCCAAACAAGACCAATAATGATTGATTCATCACATTTCAAGATCTTTATGCTAAGCTAATATGATCTGTGTAATATAATACGCTCCAAAAATGATCATTATTACTCTTGTTTGTAAGTTTTTCCTAAATCATGAGCTGCCATCACTTATTCTAAGTTGCTTCTCAATGTAAAATGATCTTTGGCCAAAAACAAAGCAGAAAATTCTCACCAGCTTTTATCACACACTTTTTGAGTGTGTTGGTTGGTCAGTGTGGTAGATTCCTCAAACACTCACATCATCATTCCAGAGATGAAGTAAAACTGTGATGTCACAACTAGAGCCATGCTTGTGATGTCATCATCACTGTATGTATGTAACAAACTTCTACATTCTGGTCATTGCTTGCTGCACTACTGACAAGTTCAGACCTTCGCAAAACACTTTCAAAGTTGAACATGGAGATTGTTTGTGGATCAAAAGTGATTTTAACAAACATTGTTTTGTCCAAACATGTTGAACCAAAGGACACATTCCTCCAACGGTGAGATGAGACCCCAGCATGGAGCCTGGAGAGCTGGACAAAATCTGCAAGGCTGGATTGAGAACAGAACGCCTCCCATTGAGTTACAGAGAGACATCCAGAGACTTGGCTCTCTTTTGGAAAAGGACAGAGCAAGATGGTTTGAGGAGAAACAAAAGCTGCTCAACGTGCAAAGAGGACTGGAGAAAACAAAAGCTGAGTTACAAGGACAGAAAAGACTCAAGGAGATGAAGAGAGAACTACTGACAGGAGAAGAGTTTTCTGATTCAGAGTCTCTCAGACGAGCTATAATCACTTCCAGGAAGCACAGAGACATAAAACACAAAACGAAAAGGCTGCTGCAGGATGAATTTGAGTTCATATTGTTGGTGAGGAAGCATTCAGGACACAAATCCAGGCAGAGAAAGAGAAAAGTGACGCCATCCAACAAGAGCTGGACCAAATCAAGACTCACTACGAGGAGCTTCAATCAAAATATGAAGCTGCAGGTGAGGAGAACCTGCAGGTCAACATGCAAATGTTTTATGAAGAAAAATCAATGAGCAAAAGCTCCTTGAGAACCTGAGAGCTGAGAAGGACGATCTCCAAGAAAAAATGTCCAAGGAGATTGACGGCCTGCAGGATCATAGTTGGACTATGATCTTATGACAAAACACACGCCAATGTCTGCCACCAGTTTTTCTGAGCTCTCTTTCTTTCAGTCCAAGAGAGTTGATATGGAGGAGGATTTTTATGATCTTTTCAGTATGTTTAAAAGGGACTTTTTCTTTTGGAATCAGCTTTTGACTTACATGACAAGTTCCTGCGAAGGAAAAGATCCGCTCCAGCTTCCACTGTCGCCTCCGTCCCTCCGGCCCAGGCCACATTGTCTCCAGATCCAGATCCTCTCACCAGCGTCGCCACAGAGGCTGCTCCATCCAGAGCCTCTCTGCTCTCTCCGGAGCTTCTCTGCTGCAGCCTCTCCGCTCTATCCGGAGTCTCTGTGCTGCAGCCTCTCTGCTCTATTCGGAGCCTCTCTGCTGCAGCCTCTCTGCTGCAGCCTCTCTGCTCTATCCGGAGTCTCTGTGCTGCAGCCTCTGTGCTGCAGCCTCTCTGCTGCAGCCTCTCTGCTCTATTCGGAGCCTCTCTGCTGCAGCCTCTCTGCTGCAGCCTCTCTGCTGCAGCCTCTCTGCTGCAGCTTCTCTGCTCTATCTGGAGTCTCTGTGCTGCAGCCTCTGTGCTACAGCCTCTCTGCTGCAGCCTCTCTGCTCTATTCGGAGCCTCTCTGCTGCAGCCTCTCTGCTCTATCCGGAGCCTCTCTGCTGCAGCCTCTCTGCTCTATCCGGAGTCTCTGTGCTGCAGCCTCTGTGCTGCAGCCTCTGTGCTGCAGCCTCTCTGCTGCAGCCGGAGGATGATTGGGGAGGTTGGTTGGTCAGTGTGGTAGATTCCTCAAACACTCACATCATCATTCCAGAGATGAAGGAAAACTGTGATGTCACAACTAGAGCCATGCTTGTGATGTCATCATCACTGTATGTATGTAACAAACTTCTACATTCTGGTCATTGCTTGCTGCACTACTGACAAGTTCAGACCTTCGCAAAACGCTTTCAAAGTTGAACATGGAGATTGTTTGTGGATCAAAACTGATTTTAACAAACATTGTTTTGTCCAAACATGTTGAACCAAAGGACACATTCGTCCAACGGTGAGATGAGACCCCAGCATGGAGCCTGGAGAGCTGGACAAAATCTGCAAGGCTGGATTGAGAACAGAACGCCCATTGAGTTACAGAGAGACATCCAGAGACTTGGCTCTCTTTTGGAAAAGGACAGAGCAAGATGGTTTGAGGAGAACCAAAAGCTGCTCAACGTGCAAAGAGGACTGGAGAAAACAAAAGCTGAGTTACAAGGACAGAAAAGACTCAAGGAGATGAAGAGAGAACTACTGACAGGAGAAGAGCTTTCTGATTCAGTCTCTCAGACGAGCTATAATCACTTCCAGGAAGCACAGAGACATAAAACACAAGATGAAAAGGCTGCTGCAGAAGGAATTTGAGCTCATATTGTTGGTGAGGAAGCATTCAGGACACAAATCCAGGCAGAGAAAGAGAAAAGTGACGCCATCCAACAAGAGCTGGACCAAATCAAGACTCACTACGAGGAGCTTCAATCGAAATATGAAGCTGCAGGTGAGGAGAACCTGCAGGTCGACATGCAAATGTTTTATGAAGAAAAATCAATGAGCAAAAGCTCCTTGAAAACCTGATAGCTGAGAAGGACGATCTCCAAGAAAAAATGTCCAAGGAGATTGACGGCCTGCAGGAAACAGAGAAGCGTCTGCAGAGTGAACTGGTGCTGTATAAGATTTGATACCAAGAATTAAACAGGAGGTATGAAGCAGGCATTTATCAGTATGAGGTGAGTTGTGAGAAAGAAGCTAATTTGGAAAGAGCCAAGAATGACCATCATCTTATCAATGGACTTAGAGCTGAAAAGAACAATGAGCATCAGAAAATGGCACTAGAGTTCTCTGTCCTGCAGCAGCAATCCACAGAGACCATGAAACATCTCCAAAGTGAACTGGATAAAGTTTCTAACCAGGAACTTAAAATGACATGTGAAGGAAATGTTTCTGCTTTAAGACAGCAAGCAGAAATATTTAATCAGGAGGCAGATAAAGAGATGAAAGCTGACATTCAGAAAATGTTGAGGGACCAAAAGATTATCAGAGAACTTGGAGCTGAGAAGGACAGTCTCCAAAAGCAAGTCACTGTCCTCCAACATCGGTACTGTAGCTGTGAGGTTAATTATGAAACAGAGCTGGAAAATGTGAAAACAAGACTGAGATGAACCAGGACCTCCAAGAAGAAAAGTGTCCAGGCATCAACAACCAAACTGGGAAAACTACACTATCCCTGTAAAAACCATTTATGAGCCTGAATCCATGGATCTGGAACATCTATTAGAGAATCTTGAATGCAGCTCCTTGGAGATGCATCTCCAAGGAGCTAAATGACTTCATAAACCAGATGCTGAGAGATTCAAGTATCCTTGATCCCAAAGCCTGCGATTATGTAGTGGATGAAATGAACAGGGAGCTCAGGTCTGGATATGGACTGTTGTGAAGCTCACTGGCATTGAGCCTCTTTTAAACTTAAGTGTTAAGAATCACTGCATGGATAAAGCGCTTTGCTACTAACACAAGATCATGTCTGAAGGACCAGGGAGAGTTAACTAGAGAAGAACTTAGTGCAACTGAAATGTACTGGTTAAAGTCTTCAAAGTCTTTAAAGTCTGAAATATTGCAGCAAAGGTCAAAGCAGAGGTCAAAGCAGAATGCGAAAGTAGATTCTAAAACCAAAGATTTGAAAGCACTCTTAGATGAAAATGGTACTAAGTGTTGGGGGAGGACAGTAAACCCAGACAGATGTGGGTAGAATGGTGGAGGTCTTTCCAAGGAGTTTTGTTCTCATACCTTCATGCAACGTTTGGACTTCTACTGGTGGCTTGTTGCACAGGCCTGTTCAGTCATTGTTTCCTTTAGAGGTGTTTTAAATGAAAGGTAAATCCTGTACAGATGAACAGTTGTTGATGTTGTCACTTCTGTACATTTATATGTTGTTAATCGAATTTAACGTGATTGTACATAATTATCAACAGGTTCTGGTTCTGTATTCTGTGACCGTCTTGTTTCTGTTGATTTTGGTTGCTAGGCAACGGACAGCCCGTTATGAGCGGTCACCGTTTTCTCCTCAGCAAAAACTGAACCGAAATGTTCAGGACGCGACACCCGAGCCTCCGTCTGGCCTGAGGAAGCTTTCACTCCGTAGCCATAAGGTCCTATTGGCTTCAACTGGCCGTCTGCTGAGTGCAACTCTTTAAAAGTCTGTTGGAATCGTTCTTAGATCGTCCCTCGTTCCACATGCTTGACTTCAATGACTGACCTGCTTCCCAAGCACGCAGTCAGGTCCTTCAGGCCGCCGTTTTAGACGCCACGGCTCAAACAGACTTGGGAATTCAGGAAAGCGACACCAGCTCTACTTCTTCGGTCTCGGGATCCGATGGAGGAAACGAGCATCATTTGGTCGCATCACTCCCGGCGAAGCTGTACGGCAGCCAGATACGGCATGGCTGCGCGCCTGGGCAACAGCGGCTCTGCACCGTCGACCTCCATCACAGACGACGGCTCGGAGAGAGAGAAAGCACGTGTGTGTTGCAGCTGACAGATGGGCGTCTCCGCACGAAGGAGAAGAGGGATCTCAGGGGAACGAGAGCGAAGAGGCCACATCACACACCGCCAGCGTGTCCAAGAGCGAGAGAGCCCTGCGGCCCGTTGGGATCCCAACAGGGTCTGAACAGAAGCACCTGAGAGGAGCACCTGGCATATCAAAGCAACAAAGAGAAGCAGGCTTCAAAGGGAACCGGGGGCCCGCTTGTCTCAGGGGCCTCTTGTGGGGATCTGGCACTTCTGAGTGAGAGGAAGTCCTGGAATGCACAAACACACCTCCGGTATTAAACCGTCGAGAGTTTAAAATGCAAGGACATGTTTTGTTGTTGTTGTTGTTTTTTTAGACAACGGTTTGGGTGTGTGAAGTGTTGGGGTGGATCTGTGCAACATTTTTACTTGTGAGATGAAAGGAAGAGCAGCAGGTTGATCCAGTAGCAGGAAGGAGGAACTTCCTCTTCAGTGGCTCTTTAAGCTTTTTTTCCAAGACGTTAAAAATCGTCCGGCTGAACGCACTTGGGAAGACGCAAAAAATTAGATTTCAGTCAAAGTTTCAGTACATTTTTTTTGTTGTACTTTTTTGTTTGCTCAATAAACAAACAAGATTTTATTGGAAGGAACGAAAGTATTTTCTTTTTCTAAAAAGTGACCTGTAAATTGTCAAAGATGCAAAGTTTTTAGTCTCAATTCAGCAACAAACAAAAGGACAAAAAGCGACGGCCCTTTAAATGAGAGCCTCCATTTGCATCGCAGGTCAGATTTGTTCCAGTCCAAAACAGGAGGCCCAAATATTTCACAAACAAGACTTGATCACTGCATTAACAGGGGAAAGAAGGTGAATAGTGCACCTTTTGTTGTAGTAGTAACCCTACTTTAGTATTTATTTTGGGGGGATTTCATGTCTTTCACTCCTCTACGTTTCTGGAAAGCTTGTCGTTTCTCGTTCCCTGTGACTCAGCGTAGCGTTTAGTTGACTTAGTTGCTGTTTTTCTTTGCTGAGACGCCGCTAAGCACACGCTGTGCTCCTCACAAGAAGGGGAACCAATCACAGTCGCCACTCACTAATGGGATTTTCAATTCCTTGGACTACTCCTGTATTTTCATAAGTAGGCACATCAGCACTTTTTTGACTTGAGTAAACCTTTGCCCGATCAACATGTACTTGTAGCTGAGTGAGATTTGACAATGAGTATTAGCACTTTTCCTCGAGTACTAGAGTTGGGTACGTTGTCTGCCATTGCTACAATCACTGGCTCGAAGCCATTGACTCTCAGACTGATTCAGTCGTGTCTTTGGTTTGCCAGATCTCTTCCTGTCAAAAGTTTTCTCGAGTTCCTGAGTGCCTCCCGAGGGTGAAGAAAACTGTACTGACATCTTGACTTTCTTTGCAATTTCTCCATAGGAAAGGCCAACATTTATCAGTCTATTGCCGTACCTTATCTTCATCCTCTGCCAGGACACTCCTGCCTTTGTAACATTTCAATCAGTTCCTTGGACTTGAACGACTTGAATCGCAATCAAAAACTGGAAAAGTCGGTGTGTTTGACGGCATTAGGGTGAGTCACAAGTTTCTTACTGACTGTGTTCCGTGCTGCAACCTTGTTCACCATTCAGCATGCTTCATGAGTAAAACTGGAACCGGATTAACCTGGAAAAAGATGTGCAAACCCTAAAAGTAATACCCTGTTTGATCACCTTCTGGTTCAGTTTCAGGGTTTGGTTTTCTTGAGTTCACACCCGACATCAGAACCTGAAACGAAAGGCTGATTTCCTAGTGGGATTTTGCTCTGAGGGCCCCACAAGAAAAAACCACGGACAAAATGACGAGAATACAGTTGCAGCATTGCCAGTTCATCCTACAAATAATTCTGACTTTATTCTCGTATGATTTTGACTCTGTTCTTATTAAATTATGGCCTTTTTTTTTTCTCGCTATGTCACGACTTCATTCTCTTGACACATGGGTTTATTCTCGTGGTATTAAGACTCCACTCTCGTAATTGTACGATTTGATCCTCTTCATTGTTTTTTGCAGACTCCACACACACACACACATACACACACACACACACACACACACATACACACACACACACACACACACACACACACACACACACACACACACACACACACACACACACACACACACAGCAGCATCATTGATCATCTTCAGATGTGATGAAAATGACAGCAGAAGTTCATTCAAAAACAAAGACTGCAGCTTGATATTTCAAATGAACGTTCATTTTTATGCCTGGATTTACACGGCAAGCAGGAAACAGCCTCCTCATTTATGAGACCAGGAAGCTTTGCATTATTGGTGCAATACCGCCCTCTAGTGGATTTAATTGACATCACGGACGCAGTGTTGAGGTTTGAAATTTCCCCCTTTTTTATCCCACTGCAGTGATAAAAGTCTTCATTAAGGTTTTTTGTGATACAGATGAATTTAAATGTGTGCTTTGCATTTGTGTTCAGTTCACTCAGTTACATTTGCTTGTTCTGTTGTTCCTGTCAAATGAGCTGATAAATGTAATTGACTCTAATATTATTATGAAGTATCGCTAATCTTAGCAATACTTCATAATAATATTAGTCATCTATACTGCTATAGATATTTTGGGGGAAAAAAAGTTTCTTCAGTGTCAATGTATTGCTTTGTAATTGTGTTGTGTGTATTATTATTTTAGTGTTTAAAATGCCAAAGATTGAACAATACTTCATAATTTTGTGCCTGATGTCTTAAAAAAAAACAAAAAGCTAAAATTACAAGCAGACTAGATTGTGTTCCAAATTATTATGCAAATTTGATTTAAGTGGCACAAAGATAGAAATTTTTGTTGTGCTATTAAATGTATAGATGGTATTGTGTGTCAGGACTCTTTGAATCACTGTAATTCATTTCAGAGAGCTGGTTGATTAGCTTGTCTGATGAGCTCAATTAAAGGAAATCTACTAAAGAAGGATGTTCCACATTATTAAGCAGGCCACAAGTTTCAAGCAATATGGGAAAGAGAAAAGATCCCTGCTGACGAAAATCATCAGATAGTGTAGTGCCAAATGGTAAGGTATGAAAATATTAGATACGTAACCAAAACTGAAGTATTATCATCGTACTGTGAAGAAATTTGATTCAGAACAAAGATGGGTTTGTTCAGATAAAGGCATAATGAGGAAGGTTTCTGTTAGGCAAATTCATCAGATTAAGAGAGCAGCTGTTAAAATGCCCTTACAAAGCAGTAAACAGTTAATAGAAGCTGCTGATGCCTCTGGAACCTCAAGGTGGAGGATCCTCCAGAGGCTTGTGGTGGATGAAGCTACTATTGGTTCTACTATTGGGCCTCTAACACAAGTATTCACAAGTAGAAACGGTCACAGTGGGCCCAGCCATACATGAAGATTAATTTTCAAACAAATTTGTTCACTGATGACTGCTGTGCAACCCTGGATGGTCCAGATGGACTCAGTAGTGGATTGGTGGTGGATGGCCACCATGTCCCAACACAATGATCTGTGACGTCAGCAAGGAGTTGGTGGAGTCATGCTTTGGGCTGAAATCATGGGGAGAGAATCATTGATCAGCTCCTTCAGAGACCCTGAAGGAGTGAAAATGACCTCAGCAAAGTGTATGGACTTTCTGACTGATCACTTTCTTTTCTGGTTCAAAAAGAAGAGCTGGACCTTCAGTAGTAAAATCATCTTCATGTATGACTATGTACCATCTGATGCTGCAAGGAATACCACTGTGTCATTAGCTGCTATGGGCATAAAAAGGGAGAAACTCATGGTGTGGCCACCATCCTCCTCTGACCTCTGACCCTATTGAGAACCTTTGGAGTTTCCTTAAGCAGAAGATCTGAGGGTGGGATGCAGTCAATATCAAACAGCAGCTCTGGGAAAGTTTTCTCACATCCTGCAAAGAAATTCAAACAGAAACTTTCCACAAACTCACAAGTTCAATAGATGCAAGAATTGTGCAGGTGATACCAAAGAAGGAATCCAATGTTAATGTCAGGAAATGGTGGTGGTGAGGTGGTGAGGCAGACGCTGGAGACCCAGGTAGGTGTATGGTGAGTAATTTAATGAAAATAAGTCCACAAAAACACAGAGTCAATAAACAATAGTCCGCGGCCAGGCAGCACGGCTGAGCAGAAGCCAGGGCTCACACCGGTAGCAACTGGTCTTAAGGGCGGCACAAAAAACAAGGACAATCTGACAAACAACGACAAGGACCCGACGAGGAACAAAGGACACAGGAGGGACTAAATACACTGAGGGTAATCAGTGACACACCTGGGAACAATCAAGGGGAAGACAGGACAACTAGGAGAACTCAGGACACAGAAACTCAGAATTAAACACAGAAAAACACAGAACCTGACAGTACCCCCCCCCTTAAAGGGCGGCTACCAGACGCCCAAAAACAAAATCCAAAACCCAAAAACCAGGGTGGGCGGAGGGGCAACGGAAGGAGGGCCAGAGTCCAGAAAACAAAAAAACTACCCACAAAAGGTGGGCGGAAACACAAGGAGGGGCCAAGAGTCCAAAACTAAACAGAAAGAGGGCAGAGGCGTCGAGGGGGGTCCGGAGGGCGTCCTCGGCGCCCGCGGCAGACCCCACGGGGGAGGTCCGGAGGGCGTCCTCGGCGCCCGCGGCAGACCCCACGGGGGAGGTCCGGAGGGCGTCCTCGGCGCCCGCGGCAGACCCCACGGGGGAGGTCCGGAGGGCGTCCTCGGCGCCCGCGGCAGACCCCACGGGGGAGGTCCGGAGGGCGTCCTCGGCGCCCGCGGCAGACCCCACGGGGGAGGTCCGGAGGGCGTCCTCGGCGCCCGCGGCAGACCCCACGGGGAGGTCCGGAGGGCGTCCTCGGCGCCCGCGGCAGACCCCACGGGGGAGGTCCGGAGGGCGTCCTCGGCACCAAGGAGCACTAGGGGACTCGGGAGGAGCACTAGGGGACTCGGGAGGAGCACTAGGGGACTCGGGAGGAGCACTAGGGGACTCGGGAGGAGCACTAGGGGACTCGGGAGGAGCACTAGGGGACTCGGGAGGAGCACTAGGGACTCGGGAGGAGCACTAGGGGACTCGGGAGGAGAACTAGGGGACTCGGGAGGAGCACTAGGGGACTCGGGAGGAGCACTAGGGGACTCGGGAGGAGCACTGGGAGTCTCGGGAGGAGCACTAGGGATCTCGGAAGGAGCACTAGGGATCTCGGAAGGAGCACTAGGGATCTCGGAAGGAGCACTAGGGATAGAGGCTGCCGGAGCAGCGGCACGAGGAGCAGAGTCCACGGAGGCCGGAGCGGAATCCGGCGGAGCAGGAGCAGGAGCCGGAGCGGAATCCGGCGGAGCAGGAGCAGGAGCCGGAGCGGAATCCGGCGGAGCAGGAGCAGGAGCCGGAGAGGAATCCGGCGGAGCAGGAACGGCAGCCGGAGCGGAATCCGGCGGAGCAGGAGCGGCAGCCGGAGCGGGGTCCGGCGGAGCAGGACGAGGAGCAGAGGCTGGAGCTGGGGCTGGGCTGGCGGAGCGGATGTCTGGCCTGGGAGGCAGAGGTTTTGCAGTCATGGCAGAGAAGGCTGTCCGGCGCACCTCCTCTGCCTCCCGCTGCAACTCCACCAGGACTGGGTGCTGGAGACGTGGTACCCAATAGTCCAGCAAAAGCCCCAGGCGTATGGCGAACCCAGGCCGTCTCAGGGCGAAAGTGGACGTACTCCTTGACTCTTCATACTCGCGGATTGTTCGGAGTAGCTCCTCTAAACCCTCTGGGTCCATGATCTGATTCTGCGAGCCTCACCGTATTTCTGGTCGGGTCCTTCTGTCATGAATTGGTGAGTAGTGGAGGTGGTGAGGCAGACGCTGGAGACCCAGGTAGGTGTATGGTGAGTAATTTAATGAAAATAAGTCCACAAAAACACAGAGTCAATAAACAATAGTCCGCGGCCAGGCAGCACGGCTGAGCAGAAGCCAGGGCTCACACCGGTAGCAACTGGTCTTAAGGGCGGCACAAAAAACAAGGACAATCTGACAAACAACGACAAGGACCCGACGAGGAACAAAGGACACAGGAGGGACTAAATACACTGAGGGTAATCAGTGACACACCTGGGAACAATCAAGGGGAAGACAGGACAACTAGGAGAACTCAGGACACAGAAACTCAGAATTAAACACAGAAAAACACAGAACCTGACAGTTAACATGTGACTGGGTCTGTTAAGATGTTTTTGATTGAAAAAGCTTTTGATTTTAGTATATGTGACCTGCTGCACATTCAAAGAATGACCATTTGCAGTTCTTCATAATCCATAAAATGTTTAGAAAATCTGCTGTGCATAATAATTTGGAACAGTGCACTTTGAGCTTTTTATTTTGGAAAAAATACTGTTCTCATGGGGAACTTTGTTCAGTAAAATTTGATTTATACTGTAATAGTTCACGACTTGAAAATTACACTAACCATCATTTGAATTGATCATTTAAGAAAATCTGAGGAAAATATCACTTGCATAGGCCATCGTTCATAAGTTCTCCTTCTGTCCACTGATTGGCCCGGTTGAAAAATTTGCCAGCGGGAAACCAGTGTGCATCGAGCCCATCACACACTGATCACTGGACGTTCTTCATATCCTGAACTGCCACCTTTTTTCCGGGTAGCTTCGTCATGCACTGATGTCAGCTTTTCGCCATTTCTTCCGTTTCGTTTTAAAGCCTGACGCCTTCAGGTTCTTTCATTTGACTGCCTGGCTGTTGGCCAGACAGTCGTTTTTTATTCCTTTTTCATCAGGCGCCTCTGAGGGTGTTTGGAGGTGGCGAGGCTGCAGTCCCCGGCGTGGTGGAGGTGGTGGGGGTTCGTCTCCTCTCCAAAACAGGGGCGTGGTTCTGCCCTGCTGCCTGGATCAGAACCAAGGCCAGCGCAGCATCCAAACTCCCAGGAGTCCGGGCGGGACGCCGGACCTCACGTTTCCTCCCAGGGCAAATCAATCTGGAGACGGATGCGCGTGTGACCTCCGAAACATAAATCACCCCTCACCAGTTATTATGACTATTCTGATTATTTCTACTCTTTTCAGCAAAAAGCTCATGTTCCTCCTTAGTCTCACTGATCAGCTCGTGACTCAGAGCAGCATAATGCGGACTGGAGGCGCGTGGAGGCGACTGGGTTCAGACTGCCGCACCAGCGCGCGCTCTGGCTGCGCCACATCGATCCCGTTCAGCGTTCTGCAGCGCCAGCAGGGAAAACCGCAGCGCCAGTGGACAGCGGAGATCATGAGGCGACATGAAAAGGCCAAAATAAAATAATTTAAAACAATAATAATAATTTAAAAAAGAAAACATCTGCGATTTGACTGCTTGATCGTCACAGTGAGATAAACACTCCACTAGGAATATGAAAAGTTTGGCAAACTAAAAAAAAAGAAAAATATTGGAGAAAATGTCCCGAATGCAAACTGTGTGTGTGTGTGTGTGTGTGTGTGGGTGTGTGTGTGTGTGTGTGTTCGGGAACTGCAGTGTAAGATGAGCTGCATGAGTGACTCGGAGTCTCCCAGGAGGGTGGAGGCTTTCTGCAGGTGCCGCCCCCCCCCCCCCCACTCCCCCTGATAACCCCTCCCCACACAACCCCTCCCCACACACACACACACACACACACACACACACACACACACACACACACACACACACACACACACACACACACACACACACACACACCCTGTCTTCCGCTGCTGCTGCGTCAAATGATGCGCCGCAGCGCCCCGACTATAAAAGCACCTGTCCGGGCCAGACATCACTCGCATCTCACTTTCTGTCCTTCCCGCGCACTCTCCATCACACCTTCCTGAGCTCCACACACACACACACACACACACACGCACGCACACACAGTTGCGCTTTCTCTCTCTCTCCTCTGTTTTCCCCTGAGGTAAAGGAAACATGAGTTACTCCGGCGACAGTTACAGCAGCAGCTCCTATCGCAGGATCTTCGGAGACGCGCCCCGGTCAGGTCGCGTAGGTCTGGGCAGCGGCGGCAGCTCGACCCGCCTGCACTCCGCGGGGTACCGCAGCAGCCACCGCGCTTATGGCTCCCCTTCCGCGGGGTCGTCCGCCGCCTACCGCAGGACGGCGGCGCCCGGCCGCGTCTTCTCCTCCATCCCGGACTCCGCCATGGACCTGACCCAGTCCACCGCCGTCACCAACGAGCTGAAGATCATCCGCACCAACGAGAAGGAGCAGCTGCAGGGCCTCAACGACCGCTTCGTGTCCTTCATCGAGAAGGTGCACAACCTGGAGCAGCACAACAAAGTCCTGGAGGCCGAGGTGACGCTGCTGCGCCAACGCCACAGCGAGCCGTCGCGCCTGCACGAGCTCTACGAGCAGGAGATCCGCGAGCTGCGGGCGCGCGTGGAGGAGCTGACGCACGAGAAGAGCCAGATGCACCTGGACTGCGTCCAGATGAACGAGGCGCTGGAGCGCGTGCGGGAGAAGCTGGAGGAGGAGAGCAGGCTGCGCGAGGAGGCAGAGAGCGCCCTGAAGGGCTACCGGAAGGACGTGGACGACGCCACCCTGGCCCGCTTGGAGCTGGAGAAGAAAGTGGAGTCTCTACTGGACGAGATCGCCTTCCTCAGGAAAATTCACGAGGAGGAGCTGCAGGAGCTGCAGGCGTCCCTGCAGGCGACGCAGGTACGCGAGAAAAGTTTGCAAGAAAAAAAAAGAGAAAACGTCTACAGTGATAAAATGTTTCTGAATGAGGATGGAAGGAGATTAGGGTGAAGCTAATAGGCTAAGTTAACTCTGTGGGTTCGGTTTTCCACACATTATTCTCTCTCTCAGAACACAAACGCGCTGTGACGCACTTTTGTAACATTCCCGAGCACGCGGCGAGTTCACGTCACGTTTGGAATGTTTCACACGGTCTTTACAACGACTCCAGCTCGGCTAGCCGCCGAAATCAGGCGTCATTATCCAGCTCGAGCGACCAGGAAGAAGGCGACCAGCCGAGGTCGAACTTGTGGGAGTTTTGAACAGATTCTCCTGTCCCGAGCCCTCTCACTCGGAGCTCCGCTGCACTGGGGAATTGATGACTCCGCAGTCCCGTTTCAGCACCACGCGCGACTCCGCCGAGCTAGCGACCTGCGCTGCGGCTGCCGCGCGCGCCTTCGCTGTCTTGTACATGTACAGTCGGACAACGAGACGAATAACTTTAAAAGTTGCTGAATCAGTGAAGTAGCAGAGAGCGGGATTTAACCAGCGTGTCGTACTCGTTGCTTAGTGTCAGAGGGTGAAAAGCGCGCGGACGGAATAACAGCCGGTGCATCCAGGGGTGTGGTCGTCCTCAGAGACGGAGAGGCGCAGACCGGGTGGAGCACGCGACTCCATTTCTAGCGACAGCAGCACAGCTCAGAAATGTAGAGGTGAAAAAAATATTACAAGTTAATTCTAGCTTACATATGTGTAAAAAAAAAAAAAAAAAAAAGTAGTTTTGTCACAGGCAGAATGTGACCAAACAAAAAAAGTAAGACGCACTACTGTTGGCTAAATTAGTCAGTAATTAACCAGTAATGCATGCTGGGTAGATTAGTCCTGTTTTTACATTGCCCTGCAGGGAAGGGATGACAGCCATGCAAGATGTGGACTGCAGCATAGGGAGTCTGAGTCAGCAGTCCGTCCGTCTGTCCTGCATCAGCTGAGTGGATCAGTGCACAGCTCCCCTCATGCATCCTTAAAAACAGTCGCCTGCGATGCTTCTGGTGGAACTTCAAATATACGTCTGAGTCTTGAGGTTTGGTGTGACCTCAGGATTGCATCCAATTTCACTTGGAAATTTATTTTTCCAAGTGAAACAAAAATAGTTAACATGATTTTGTTTGTTTTAAGAAAAAGGCTTAGGTAAAGTTATGGATTTAATTTCAGTGACTTTGAAACATTTACTAAATGTTTGAACCTGAAACCAGTGAAATAACAGCTTTGAAGCAGTCTGGTGATTCTGGGGTTCAGTGAGTTCATGCTGCAGCCAGAACTTCTTTCTTATCGTCATTATTCTCTTTCCTTCTTCAAGGTGTCAGTGGAGATGGACATGAGTAAACCGGACCTGGCCGCAGCCCTGAAGGACATCCGGGCTCAGTATGAGAACCTGTCGGCCCGGAACCAGGTCCAGGCCGAGGAGTGGTACCGCTCCAAGTTTGCCACTGTGACGGAGGCCGCCGCGCGCAACCAGGACGCCATGAAGCACTCCAAGGAGGAGCTTAGCGAGTACCGTAGGCAGGTGCAAGCCCGCACCCTGGAGATCGAGGCCCTCCGGGGCCACAACGAGGCCCTGGAGAGGCAGATTGGCGAGATGGAAGATCGTCACAACAATGAAATTGGAGAGATGCAAGTAGGTGATTTTTTTTTTCGCTTATCGAATGAGTTGAGTTTGTAAAGGGGTAGTCCCTTAGCAACATAGATTAAGAAATGTTTTATTAATGATCACTATAGTCAGGGCCGAATTTACGAGGACGTGGGCCCCTGGGCTGGAGGTCGTTTTGGTGCCCTATACACTACAGAAAAACATTTTGTATTAATGTAAATTACAGTCCATTGTCTTACAGATCAGCAGGTACGACTTGATGCATAAAAGGTCTAATACGTCCACTGACCAATAACTCCATGTTGTTTCCAAAGAAATCAACCATAATTTCAGAATTTTGAAATACTTGAATATTGTTTGTATTCATAAAAATACCCCAAAATGAATACATCTCATCTGATATCTGCTTGTGCGTTTTACATAAAGTACAATGTTTGCAAACCACGCCTTTGTAAAAGTGAATAAAAAGAGAAAGAAAAGAAAAGTCTTTGGGACCCCACAGAAAAATGAAGCCCTGGGCTGCCGCCCTTGTCAGCCCTTTCTAAATTGTGACCCAGACTTCATTCTGTAACTGTGGTTGCGTGCAGGACACTATCCAGCAGCTGGAGGCTGCCCTGCGGAGCACCAAGGGAGAGATGTCTCGTCACCTGCGTGAATACCAGGACCTGCTGAATGTCAAGATGGCGCTGGACATTGAGATCGCTGCTTACAGGTCAGATTAGTTTCCTTTCAGGGAGAGTGAACCGAGTGAACCATAACCCTTACAAAGCATTGATAAACCATGCAAAGTCATTAACAGCTCCTTTACGTGGTTTATTGTTTAGATAAGAACTTAAAACAGCAGGAAGTTATGGTTGCAGGTTACCGTTGTATTTGTGAGGATGGATTATTCTACAACAATACAGTTTTTAAGGTTCTTACCAATTAAGCTGAGTATGTAAGCCAAGTAGAACTGATTTCAATTGTTTGTACTTGTGAATTATGTGATCCTCTCATTTTTTTGTTTTCATGTGATTTTTTTTATTATTTGAGGTGGTCTGGTTTTGTTCAATTTCGTCATCATTCTCAACTGAAACAAGTCGTGGCCCATAAAAGAAAAACCCTGAAAGGCAGTGTGGGAAAAAAATCACTTGTGCTTCCTGCTTCCATCCTTACCTTTTATGTTTAAACTATTATTTAATGGTTGTGATGGAAATCTCTCTTTCCAATTAAAAACGATTAGAAGAGAAAAAAGTGACCCAAGAATATAGCCTTGTGGATCCCCACATACAATTTAGATTCAGATCTTTATTCATGTCCCAATGGGGAATTTTTTTTACAAGCAAGTCACCATTTAAAAAACAAACAAACAAACAAACAAAAACAACAGTACATCAACAATTAATATTTGGCTAGATGCTGTGGAATATTCTTTCTTATTCTTTCATTATTTTTGAAATGGTTTGTTAATAAGCTGCCTATCAGTTGTATTTTCCAAGCTTACAAAGTTAGATATGAATTTGTAATTAATTACAATTGAGACATCCTGATTATGGACATAATTTTACTTTTACCTTTTGCTGCAACATTTTTAGAGAGTCAGTATTATGTAAAATTGACTTTGTTTTAGCTTTACACCATGTTATAATTGCCTCAAAAACACACCTAGTGTTGCTTTGATTCTTTCATAAATGTTTAGGAAACCCTTTAATCTCCCCTGACAACCATTCAGTTATGGAGAACACATGGGTGGACCTAGCTCCACCTTCGAGGGAGAAGCTCCTCCTCAGAACTGCAGTTTCCAAGTTTCCTCCTCACAGAGCAGCTCTGTCCCTTGACTCTCCCACCCAGCTCCTTCAGACTAGCCAGTAGCAGTTAGCAAACTCCTGGTGGAACTGAGCATCAGCTGAGCTCATTATGGGAGCAAATTCTCAGTGCATCATTGTTAAAAACGTTGTTAAAGAATTTATAGAGGAGCCATGTTGTGATGACTTCCTGAAGGCGGAGTTTTAGAAAGGTGCGCAGAGGCCGAATTTCCAGGCGTCCGATTACAAAGTGAAATGTCTTTCATGTCATATAGGATTTTTTTTATAACTGTAACTAAGATGAGAAACACTCCAAATCCAGGCTGGAAGGAGACATCATCCTCCTCACCCGTTTGCCTCTCTGTCTGTACAGGAAGCTTCTGGAAGGCGAGGAGTGCCGCCTCAGCTCGGTGGGCAGCGCTATGGTCCAGTCTGGCTATCCCGGTCTGTCCTACACATCGGCCCGCGCCTACGCCCTGGGAGCTTACAGGAAGCCCAAGCCGGAAGAGGAGGAAGAGGAGGCAGGAGAAGACGACGACAAGGAGGAAGAAGAGGAAGAGGTAGAGGAGGAGGAGGAGGCCGAGGAGGGAGAAGAGGGAGAGGAGCAGGAGGAAGGTGAGGGAGAAGCAGAGGAAGAGGAGGAGGGAGAAGGAGAAGAAGAAGAGGAGGAGGAAGAGGAGAAGCCAAAGGAAAAGGAGAAGGGAAAAGAGAAGGAGAAGGAGAGCTCCACCGGGAAGAGCAGCAAGAGCTAAACAGCTTGTGATGTCATCAGCTTCAATAACTCATCTCTCATCCCACCGATCACCTCTGGCTCTGCTTCCTGTTCACGTCGCCCTCTGTGTTTTCCCCACCCATTCACACACATCCAGATGCCTTCCACCTCCACACCGGGTCAGACAGGATCACTTTAGATGGAGAAGTATAGCATTAGTGAGCTGCAAAACGGTTCCAGTTCAAGTATTTATTCAGTCCACTGTCCACCGTTTCCACGTCTCTGAAGTGCAGAGGGCTACTAGCATGTTTACCACAAAACGGTAAAAGATGAGAAGCAGGCGTGAATGTTTCTCTCCTGCATCATGTGCCACAGATGATCCATATTCACATTAGCAAACAGCGAGCCCACCTCAGAGGTAACGCTGCAGTCAGCACACAGACTTTGGAAGACAAACGCACAGATCCTGGAGCATGTGAAGCAGCCAGTCCAACTATTATGGTGCTATTTGATTTTTACATTTACAAGTTGGGGAAGGATTTTATCATGGAGCACCCCTCCCCCGCCCCCTCTCCCTCACCAGCTCGGTCCTGAATGTGAATGTCAGCTTTAGGGCAGGAATACTAGCAGAAACACAAAGAATGCTTCCATGTGGGTTAGGATTTATTCCCCCCCCAAACCCACCCTTCAAGCGCTCCGACTCATTTCAGTCCACTCAGTTCGTCCCGCTTTTATTTATTGTAGCCTTGCAACCCTGAGCCTGGAAAAGTGTGCGTGTATGTGTGTGAGGTTGTGCAGTGTGTAAGAGAGGAGGTGCGCTGCCGCTGTGCGCATCCATGTGGATGAAAATGTGAAGCTTCAACTGCTGCTATGTGTATTTCTTTTGGGAGGCGGAGACTGTAACCGATCTCTACCTTTGATTGATTCATTTGTCGAGAAGAATCTGCTACATGTCACTGAAAAAGAGAAGCATTTTCTTTTTAGTCTCATGTTAACACAGTAGGCCCTTTGTTTATTAAGCTGGATATATAAAGAGTGGGTTGGATGATGGGTTTTGTGGTGTCGAGTCATTAATAAGGGCTACAGTTAGGGCCAGAAATATTTGGACAGTAACACAATATTTGTGAGTTGGGCTCTGCATGCCACCGCATTGGATTTGAAATAAAACCTCTACAACAGAATTCAAGTGCAGACTGTAACGTTTAATTTAAAGGGTTGAACAAAAATATCTGATAGAAAATGTAGGAATTGTACACATTTGTTTACAAACACTCCACATTTTAGGAGCTCAAAAGTAATTGGACATATAAACATAACCCAAACAAAAAGTTTTTTCTCAATATTTTGTTGCGAATCCTTTGGAGGCAATCACTGCCTTAAGTCTGGAACCCATGGACATCACCAAACGCTGGGTTTCCTCCTTCTTAATGCTTTCCCAGGCCTTTACAGCCGCAGCCTTCAGGTCTTGCTTGTTAGTGGGTCTTTCCGTCTGAAGTCTGGATTTGAGCAAGTGAAATGCATGCTCAATTGGGTTAAGATCTGGTGATTGACTTGGCCATTGCAGAATATTCCACCTTTTTGCTCTCATGAACTCCTGGGTAGCTTTGGCTGTATGCTTGGGGTCATTATCCATCTGTACTGTGAAGCGCCGTCCGATCAACTTTGCAGCATTTGGCTGAATCTGGGCTGACAGTATATCCCGGTACACTTCAGAATTCATCCGGCTACTCTTGTCTGCTGTTATGTCATCAATAAACACAAGTGACCCAGTGCCATTGAAAGCCATGCATGCCCATGCCATCACGTTGCCTCCACCATGTTTTACAGAGGATGTGGTGTGCCTTGGATCATGTGCCGTTCCCTTTCTTCTCCAAACTTTTTTCTTCCCATCATTCTGGTACAGGTTGATCTTTGTCTCATCTGTCCATAGAATACTTTTCTAGAACTGGACTGGCTTCTTGAGGTGTTTTTGGGCAAATTTAACTCTGGTCTGTCTACTTTTGGAATTGATGAATGATTTGCATCTACAAGTGAACCCTTTGTATTTGCTTTCATGGAGTCTTCTCTTTACTGTTGACTTAGAGACAGATACACCTACTTCCCTGAGAGTGTTCTGGACCTCAGTTGATGTTGTGAACGGGTCCTTCTTCACCAAAGAAAGGATGCGGCAATCATCCACCACTGTTGTCTTCCGTGGACGCCCAGGCCTTTTTGAGTTCCCAAGCTCACCAGTCAATTCCTTTTTCCTCAGAATGTACCCGACTGTTGATTTTGCTACTCCAAGCATGTCTGCTATCTCTCTGATGGATTTTCTTTTTTTTCAGCCTCAGGATGTTCTGCTTCACCTCAATTGAGAGCTCCTTTGACCGCATGTTGTCTGGTCACAGCAACAGCTTCCAAATGCAAAACCACACACCTGGAAACAACCCCAGACCTTTTAAGTACTTACTTGATTACAGGTTAACGAGGGAAAGGCCTTTTGAGTTACTTGCAGCCTTTAGAGTCCATTGTCCAATTACTTTTGGTCCCTTGAAAAAGAGGAGGCTCTGCATTACAGAGCTATGATTCCTAAACCCTTTCTCCGATTTGGATGTGGAAACTCTCATATTGCAGCTGAGAGTGTGCACTTTCAGCCCATACTATATATAAATTGTATTTCTGAACATATTTTTGTCAACAGCTAAAATAACAAAACCTGTGTCACTGTCCAAATATTTCTGGCCCTAACTGTATATTCACCATCACTTTCTCCCATGATGCCCTGAAACGTTTTCATCGCTGCTGTTCTTTGTTTGTCTTCCCAGGTTTTGTTTTGGCAAATGAATCAAGCAACTGGTTTGAATGCATGGCCTGACACTTGGAGCTTGAATATTAGCTGGTTGAGGAAGACTTTTTGCTTGTTGTGTGTTCTGTTAAAGTAATAAAATAAAATTTAAAAGAAGAAGAAGAAAAAAAAACCTTGCCTTAACCATAAAAGAGAGTAAAATAAAACTCGTTTCCACCTGAAACACTCACTTGTTCCCGGTACGACGGAGGAGTTGCTGACACTTTTCAGATTCTGCTAAACAACTGTGATTGTACATGCTGCTGTTTCCTCTCAAAGCCAAATAAAGACATTTAATAAACAAAAATTTTCTCCACTCTCCTTGTGTTTATAATTGAATAAAAACGATCAAAAATATTAAAAGGTTTTACAGTTTTAAAAATAAGCTTTTTACATCTAATTTATTTAAACGTGATGTAGTGATACTACTGATCTTATAGTTTAGTCTGAAAGAAGGTGGCAAATAATGACTAAATACTAAAGAAACAACAATAACTCCATACAGTTGCTATTGCATAATTATTGCCAAATATATATAATAAAATTTTGATTCAGAGGAGAACGGCGCACAAAGAATTACAACTTCTGGTTGCACAGAAATATTGCATAATATTTTATTAATGAGACTGATTGCATTTTTCTTAACAACCACAACATTTAACTATCCACCATTTATGAAGGCATTCCTCCAACCAGATCAGCCTGTAGTTATGAAGGCTTCCTCTACAGCCGTCAACGACAAGAAATCCCAGAAATTTGATGAAAAATGTTGTTTTTTTATGGAGCGACTCCTGGGTTGTTCACTGACAGATGTGAGCAAAATAAAAAGTCAATTTTGCATAACACTGTCCCTTTGCAGGAATAAATGTATCCAAACCAAGCTGCAGTTGTGTGAACACGTTATCTCCCTCGTTGATGCAGAATTTCACTGTGATGAGCCACATTCTTTGGACAGCTGATGTCATTTTCAGTCGACACGCTGACACACAACTGGTAAAATGCAAATTTTGGATAAATCAATAAGGGAGCAGCTACTTTTTACATTTCAGACCATCTTAATAAATTAACACCTGACTGAGTTATGTTACTTGCTGTTTGTTTTCTTAACGGTGCGCCTTTCTAACACAACGCTCCGCCCAGCTTTTGAAACTCATTTCACCTTCTGCACATGGCAGAGAAAGAAAATGGCAGGAAATCGCTGAGAAATGCTTTTTCCAGTCGAGCTCCTTCCGCCGCCTGCATCAATACCTCGCAGGCTGCAGTCGATAGCTCCTGAGCCAGCTGGATAAAGTCTTCAGGCTCATCCCTGCTCCTGTCTGCCGGCGCCCACACCGACTGGAGCAAGATGGATGGCAGGTTCCAGCACCGGCTTAGCTGTCAGTTGCAGCAACTTAATCACAAGCTGATTTTTTTCTTCTTCTTTGTGACTATGCTACCTTTTGTGTTCTTAGTTTTCACATATGTGCATATCATAAATTTGATCTTGGACCGACGTTGACTTTTACGTTGGTAGCAGTGAATGCCAGTGATCAGTCATCACTGAGTTTCACCTTTAACCCTCTGGGTTTAGATTCCCTTCTGTTTGGAACAATAAGTATAAACGTCCCTTTATTCCCTTTTTTCCCTCCTTCATCTAGTCACGGGGAGAAGTTGTTAGTCTTGTAGTTAATGGGAACAGTTTGTAATTGGAAATAATTCGAATTGTGAGTTTTTGCTTCTTGTTGAGGGATTTCAAATTAAATATTGTGTATTAATTGGCGTATTTAGTGTTCACCTTTTTAGTCACACCGGCACGCTTATGTTTTTGATAGACTCGTTTTCTAGTTTTTGTCCTCCACCGGTCAAAGCAGGGCAATTTAGTGCCACATCTTGAATAGGTAAATATTAATTGTTGTTGTTTCTTCTGTTCTCACTGTGACCTGCTGTAAAATGGATTTCCCGCAGGCGACATGGACAGAGAACTGGACCTGAATCTGCAGGATGAAACCAGCAGAGAGCCTCGGACCACACCCTGAGCACCTTAAGGAGAAGGGGAAGCAGTGCTTCTGTCAGCAGTCTGCTCTGTTGTCTGAGCCCACATTTATTGACAGTCGCCTCCCTGCGGTGACTCAGAAAGTCCAGACTCAGCACAGACCGGTTCAGAGAGCATTTTTACTGAAAATCAGAGTCCGATCAGCTCCGGTGGGGGGGTCCGGTGGTCCCGGCTGGACGTCCTGTAGGCTCGTCCTCCATCTGCTGTGCATCCTCAGCTGCAGCCGTCAGCAGATTTTGTTGTTATGCAGGTGCATACATTATGGAACCTCGCCCTTGCGCTCTGTTCTCCGGGGACAATTTGTGATGAAGCCATAAACGCTGCAGCGCAGCATTCCTGCTGCAGTCTGGAGATGATGTTGAGTTCCTCCTTTTGTGGAGACTTAAACACCTGCACTATATTGTGCTTCCATTACAAATCTTTGTCTATATTCTACTAAATGTAAAAGAAAACAACAACAATACACTATTACACAATTGCAGTGTTGCCATTAAATAAGAAATTCACTTACAGCCTCGTGTGAATAAGCTTGTTCACAGGATAAGTCATTAAAAGTCATGGTAGTGACCAACGGAAACAACTGACATGGGATGTATATTCATAATTTGCTTATCGTCAATCAGCCTCCAGAGGAAACTCAGCCTGTGATTCAGGGGTTGGAGCAACAAGCCCCTTATATTTTGGGAGTGGCTGTGGATGTGGCATTTAGTAGTCAGTGATTTTACAAAAAAAAAGTTATGGATTCAACACCTTGGAATGGCACACAACCTTTTATAAACTGTGTGATGCTGAGTGCTCTGAGAGCCATGACAGTTTGTAGAAACAAACAAACAAACAAACAAAACCTTCCACAAACAAACCTCGTCCTCCTACTTCCTGTTGTCGTTTTCGTCGTTTTCGCCAGTAGTAACATCCGGCTGTTGTTTAGGTCAATCACGTGACTCGTGTAACCATACGGCCTAAAAAAAAAACACCTCACCCTAGTTCCAAAACTTTTTTTCTTAATAAACTTTTTCCCCAAAAAATTTACTGTTTCTTGTTTCTTGAATTTATTTTGTGTCATTTCACAGTTAGTGGAATAAACTTATTAATATTCTTCATGCCTAACTTTCTGAATGATTTCTACTCTTCTCCTCTCCTTCTCTATCAGGAAGAGTTTTGGTTTTTTGTTGTTGTTTTTTTCATTCACACCTCACACCATCAAACAGGACTGGAGGTTTTGAGGAATGAAGCGAAAAGTCGGCGCAGTGACACAAGTGGACCTCTGTTGCAGATCGCCGTCGTTGTTTCCCGTCCTCACGTCTTTCTCCTGTGTCCGTGTCTGTCTCTCCTTCTCCTCCTCTCCCCGAACCTCTGATGCTAAATTTAGACTCCTGCATTGCAGATGTCCCAGAGCCCCGCAGTTCTTCTTGAGGAGCCCCGGCCCAAAAAACACATTGCCGTGTCTGTGACTCAGAGTCTCCAGACGCAAGAAGGACCGAGGCGGTCGTCCAAGCGCAGGACACCGGGACGGTCACGCCACGACGGGGATTGCACTGCAGCTAGGGACGAGGCAGTTTCAACCTAAAAGCGCCGCAGTCCTGATCTGTGGGGTGGGTGCGGGTATGAGAGCTGCGATATGGGTGCACAGTTTTCTCTTCATCCGATGAAGCTGCGCGTTTTGTTTGCAAGGTAGATTTCACACGAATCTGCTGGTGGTCATAAAGAAAGAACATAAACACAACAACAAAACAGAACACGTTTATCTTGCTCGTCGGGCTCTCACCACAAAATCGAACGCAAGCGATTTTATGGTGAGATCGATACAATTTGCAGAAATACGACTAATTGCGCATCTGGACATCGTTGTTTTAAAAAAATGGAAATAAATACCACAAATATTTGTTTTTTAATGAAATTCACATAAAATCCAATAAATTAAAATTTATATATATATAACATGTTATTATATATATATATATATATATATATATATATATATATATATATATATATATATATATATATATATGTCTAAACACTACTTTTCTCTGATACTTGAATGTTTCAAGTTTTACTTCCGTATTTTTGATAGCGCAAAAAGCTGTCAAAGTCGAACTCATGCACTCAACTAGTTAGTTGTAAATGGTTCTGCTCCATGAGTGGGTCATGGAGGATATAGAGTGGTGGGTCCTGTCTGGTTACTGTCATGCATCAGATCCTGCAGACGGTTTGCAGTCGGAGCCCATCGAGCTGTTGTGTTTGGGCTGCAGAGAGCTCTCTCTCCTCTTCCAGTTCTGCTGCAACACCGGTCGGTTTATTAAATATTTATGTCTGAAGGCTGCTGACAGGCCGCAGAGCGACCACCTCTACACGCAGTGCCTTTTATGCAGCGTCTGCCGCCATCTAGTGTTAACGGTGGAAATTACAGCATATTTCAAGGACTTCAAATGATGACCGTAAACCTTTAAAAACTGTAACACAAAATAAACTGACCTCATACATCAGATTACTGAAAATGATAATACTCATAAAAAGGGTAATTCAACCACATAGTGTCAGTGTCACCTGTCTTATAAACAGACCTTTTTCTTTTCTTTATAAAAAGGATAACGTAAGTAGAGCAAGACGTATAAAAGAAACGGGACAGGATAAAAAAACGTTTATCTAAATGTATGTAATGATTTTTGGATTTTGAATGTGAACCTCCTAATTAAGATGTTCACATTAGCTGTTGCTAAAGCAATGCTAAACTACTGAAATGAAAGTAATCTATTGGGTAACACTTTGACAGGTTTTGATTAAGACTGTCATAAACATGAGTAAGTCTCGATGAATATTTATGACTGTTTGTTATAAAGTGTCATTCAGTAAATCATGACACTTTTAATACAAAGCGGACATTATTCAAAATGTCCTTGTTATGACAACTTGTCATTAACCAAGAAATCATGATCTGACATAAATCTGTTATAAAAGTATCACTGATTAAACTATAAAAATGACGTAGCTTTATCTTCCCAAAGCTAAAGTTTGATCCATTTTAACAACTCCTCGTAGTGCAATAAGCCAGCTTCCACCTTACAACTGTTGCCAGAATAAAAGCTTTTTCTGTCTAAAAAAAAGGACATAAAATTTGCTTTTATTTTCAGTAGGTTTGACAATTTCAATAGTATTCATTTTAAAAAATTCAGAATCCTTTCCTCTTATGTGTCATGTACTCTTGTTCTTATGTTTTTTTTATCGTCGTTCTTTTATTTATTTATTTTTTTTTACTGTAAAGCACTTTAAAGTTACGTTACATTTATTTTGAAAACCGGAACATCCCCTCGTCATTGATTCACGCTCAGAGAGTTGGGGGGAGAAATAGAAGGGCTGCCGAACAACACTTAGCTCAGACCTTAGCAGAAGTTTACCCAACAGATAGTCCGCCGCCGGAACCTCTGGACCGTGGCCGTCAACGTCAGGCTTCCAGTCGCTAAGATGACCGAGCTGCGCCACCGAGGCGCCAAAGACGGCGAGCCTCCGCTGGAGCAGCAGCCGTCAGAGGACAAGGTAACGCACAGCCTGGGCTCGGATGCTAACGCCATGTAGCCGCTCCGCGGGGTGATGCTATCCTGTGGCTGGAAACGAGCCTCGCGAGCTCGTCTGGTTTTCTTCTCATTTGCAGAGCAGAGCTCTTTGGAAATGAGCGCAAATGTTCCCGCGACGGCTCGACAGCACCGAAAGGCACAGAAATACACATGAACAAATTGGTCTCTCCGTTAGCCGATGCCCCTGTTTGTCTGAGTGAACGTTTCTTGGAGAAAAAAACCCATCACGCACAGCTGAAAATCAAAACATTAAATTGTTAAACAAAATGGGGCGTTGTTTAACCCATGGTTCACACTAAAGCACAGGAACACGTCTGTGAATGTCATGACGGCTGTATTAATCATGGAGCCAGATTTTTTTTGTTTTTTGTTTGATACTGAGCTCAAAATAACCTGATTGGTGAGACGGTTAGTGCCTGGAGAAACATTAGCCTGCTTCTCCAGAACACCCTTCATCGTAGCGCTGCAAAGCATGACGCAATTCACGTATTACAGAGAAATTACGTCTTGCGTTCACTCCGTGCACCCTGATGACTGTGACTTCATGCCTCGCCCGGGTCAATAAAGGGGCGTGGCCCCCGAGTGACGGCGGTATGGATCCGTTTAGAGGCGCGTGATCACAGAGAGCAGCCAAAGCGGCCCCGCCCACTTTAATCAACTGGGCCTCCTGTCTTCTTCTCTGCTTCTAATTCTGTCTGAACTCAGTGCTACAAAGTAGAATACCTGGAAACGGTGCGTCTTGGTTTTAGTTAAAAGTAGTTCTAGAAACAAAACGAACAACAATAACAAAAAATAAATGTTTCCACATATTTGCTTTTATATTGTCTAAAACGTCAACCGTTACTAATATTGCTATTATTATTCTGACTATTGTAATAAAAATCCTGAATATTTTATGATTTTGATTACAGATCATAGATTGACCATAGATTTTGTACCTGACATCCAATCACCAATGTCTTGCAAAGCTCTGATTTTAGCCAACTCAAGCTTTTCTAAATGACTTTATTTATTTATACTGTAAAGAGCCTTCAGGCGAATTGATGCAACATAAATAAAGGGAACTGAATTTAAGATATACAAATAATAACAATGCATTTTCCCCCACATATTTAGCCTGTCTTGCTCAAGACATTACTCACATTACTTGTTCTTCTACATTTATCCATAGCGTTGAAGATCCCTGTTGTTTAGCATCGTCTCTCATATTGTTGATGAAGGTTGAAAACGCCACTAGCAGGATTCCTGTGGAATCAGCTGTCAGACCCTCGGGGGAAGGAAGTTAATTTGGGTACATGTTGCAAGTTGGAAAATCAGCTTGCAAATTGTCCTGTACATATTATGCAACCGTATCTGTGTTCCAACGAGGGTTGAAGCGATTAATTGCGATGAATCGATAATTAAAATAACCATAATTATTAACCGATTATTAATTGGAACGTACAGACTCAAAAGAAGGCCATTTGCTGAAAAGACAACACACTAAAAGCAGTAATTAAACCAAAATTGTACGAAAAATTTTACATTTTGCATTTAGCGTAAAAAATTACATTTTTTTCTGTAAATATGTTCTGCTAAAAAACTCCTAGTTTTAGCTTCACCTGTTTCAAATTCTGGAAATAAAATCTCCTGTTAAGTACCTTTTGCTATCCGATTTCTGATTGGTTAATTCAAAAAACAATCACCAAATCAGCACGACACAGTATTGATGTTTAGTCAAGCAGAAAGAGCTGAACTTTTAGTGTTTTTTTTTTGTTCTTTTTCTTTAGCAGATGTGTCCTTTGTTACGTTGATGAAATGTTCATTAAATGCTGTCAAATGTGTTTTAGGTGCTAAAATGTTATATGTTTTAAAGTATTTTCAAGATGATATAAAAAAGCCTGAAATGGTTAAATTAAAAATCTGAAGAATTCACCAATTTATTACGATTAATCGTCAGAGTAATCGATAGAATAATCAATTTACTAAAACAATCATTTGCAGCCCTAGTTTCTAACTGGTGCTGCTTTTAGAAATACGTTTGTTTGTTTTTTATCTTGCCACATGTTTGCAATTGAAATTCCGCTTTGGACTTTGACTAGGCAATTTTTTTTCTAGTTTTTTCATTTTGTTTTTCCATTTGATCTTAAGCCATTGCACTGTAGGTGCTGCAGTGTTAGTTTAACCAGATCACATGTTGTGGTGAGCGCAAACATGATGTCTTTCAACAGGTCCTCCATCTTGCCACGCATCCGTATCTCGCCGGACACATAGTCATTTTATTTTGAAAACACATGAAAGCAGTGTTTTATTTTAATTTAATTTCAATTATTATGTTACTTTGCGTTGGACAGGGTTTCCTGAAGTGTGCTATAAGCCTGGCGGGCCACCAGTCTTTGCTTCCCCCTGCCAGGCAAAACATTGCTTGTTTATTTACTTTAGGTTTGTTTTTTAATGCTCGCCTTGGTTTTTAAGACTTTACATTTGGTGTTTAGGTGTTGTTAATAATGTCTTCCAATACCAGATAATTTACCTGGTGATATTTTAAAATTTTCTGTCAACTGTAAATATTTGTTCTGAAATTCAAAAACATGGCAGACTGCTGATGGACTGCCGTGGCGCCTCTACCACTAGACTTAGCAAGTTTCCTGGGGGAAACTCTGCATGACATGTAAAGTGACAAAATGTGTAAAAGTTGAAGACGTGAAATCTTTCGACAGCTCTCTGTATTATAAATGCATTATTTCAGAGACTCGTTTAATGTAAAGTCTGGAGATGATGGTTACATCAAATTAAATTCTATGTTGCGTTGAGGCTGAAATCACTGAGCACACAGCTGTGGCTTTTCATAGGGGAGTGAATCAGTATATTTACCGCTGATAGCTCACTAATTTAACTTGACTGAAATGCCTAATCCTCATCACCCAGCATGCATTGTGCTCCGGCAGCAGCGGTGGACTTTGTAATTAGGACTGAAGGACGTTGACCAAACAAATGCAGAAACTCTCGGTGGTGGTTCGTTGTATATTTCTCTCTATTTAATGAGAGGGTTTAAAGTTAAAAAAGAAATCGAATATTTAGTATTTCAATTAAAGCATGTCAAATACGAGCCAGTTAGTCGGTCTCCAGATTGATTTGAGATGGTTTGAGGATGCGGCGTTTGCTGATCGATTGGTCACGTCAGAAAAAAAGAAGAAAGACTTGCCGCTGGTTTGGAAGACAACATGAAAGGGGAGGAGAGTATAAATTGAAAGGGGTTCCTATTTTTAACTCCAGCATCCTGAATGGCAGATATTGTCTCCATAGAAACCAGCACATGGAAAAGGGTTTAGTCCTGTGTATGTGTGTGCTGTGCTGTGCTGTGCTGTGCTGTGCGGGATATTGCATAATGTTGTTCTGATATGTATTTTCCTTACACTGACATGAATTTCCATTATTAGGGAAACAATCCCGTAACATTAAGATGCAGGGGTTCCCTCTGGGTGCATAATTCATATTTATTAACCTTGGAGTGACACCGCCTGTGTGTTTCATTAAGGCCCCATCCAATCAGCAGGCTTTGACAGCTCAACAATATGGAGGGAGATTCTCTGTCGGTGCTTCACGTCCCACGCACAGCGCTGTCCTGATGGTCTGCGCGGCTAATTTTAGTGTTTCCTCTGGCTTGATGAAGCTGAGGGACAACGCCGCCCAGCAGCTCAATCCCATGTCAACATTTGTTAAAGTAGATTTCAGTCTGAACAAAACACGTTATTCTCACTTTCGTCTCAAAATAAACACCGTATATATGGTATACAGTAACAACACATGCGCCATATATCTGTAAGTGTTTTTACCCGAACTTGTGGCCTATCATAGTTGTGCTTATTAGCTTCTCTTTAGCTAGCTTTTGACTTGATCAATATTTAATATTTGATATCGGGTGTAAAAAGTTATGAGATTCATCATGGGAAGTTGTTATTCTCTGAACACAACAGCCCAGTTGCAGTCTTTTCTTCATTGTTTTTTATCCTTTGTGTAAATTATTTGACTGGTTTGTTGAATTAAAACTTCCACTATAAGGCCCGTTCTTTAGAGTAGCAGATATGAAAACGACAGGCAGAATAAGGTTGGTTGGTTTTGCATCGGTCTTGTGCGTCTCTGCGTTGCTCTGTGATTGTAACCTGTCCGTGACATCACCTGCCTCTCGTCCAATGCTACGCCAAAGAAGGAGAAAAGGTGATTAATGGAACATTGTTGCCAGTAGCATAATCCCCAGCAAGCCAGTAACTGGAGCGCAAACATCAGACACATCAGTCACTGATAATACCAGACCTGTTTTTAGCTCCAGAGAGTCGGCTTCCTTCCATGTACGAGACTTTTTGGTTGGTCAGAAATAAAAACATTTTATTTCCTGTCCTGCGTCATATGGCTGACTTTTCAAGGTTCTAGAGCTTAGCATGCTAACTGGAGCTATTGTAGTCTACAAAAGGAACAGTTGTCAGTCTAAAAAATTAGAAGTGTGTGCTTTTATTTTAAATAGTAAAATCATCTACTGTTATGGAAATGTGTAGCATCCTCGTTAGTTGCCTGTTTTTATTAGAACATTCTATTTTCATACTGTGTATTGTAATAACCTGCTGCGGTCGCTCGGTGGACTGTTCTAAATAAACCAACGAAACATCTTTAAGCTAAGAGTTTCTAGGATTGGGAGATATGAACTTAAAGTTTAATCACAATACTTTGTTGTACTATTCTGATAAGTCTAAAGTGACAATAAGAAGTACTTATTACTTTGTTACTAGACAACTGTATCGACCGCATGGAACAGCAATCACAGCCCCATAAACATAAATATTGCTTTTGAAAACATTGTCGTTTGTAATATGATTCTTTAGGACATCAGTCACACGAACAAGTGTGATTTTTATCACTAAACTGCACACAGTAAAAAATGTTTTTATTTTTGAGAGGCTGTACCTACATCTACATGCTATTATTATTTTAATTGAAAATAGTTTCAAAATGACAATATTATTGATTATTGCAATAATTTCTGTGACAATCGTCGAGCAATAGTTATTATGAGTTGCCTATGTTTAAATGTATTTTCTATAGATGCTTTTCACACTGATATTGTCGACTTTAGTGTCCAGGTTTTCTGAATCCAAAAAAAGTCGAGCCTGTTTTATTTCTTCTGTGTGTGTGTGTGTGTGTGTGTGTGTGTGTGTGTGTGTGTGTGTGTGTGTGTGTGTGTGTGTGTGTGTGTGTGTGTGTGTGTGTGTGTGTGTGTGTGTGTGTGTGCGTGTGTGTGTCCAAAGGGCTCAGACAGCGAGCTAAAAGGAGACAACGAGCCCAAGGTGGATTCGGGAGTTCCCGAGGTGCCGGTCCCTCCTGATGACACCCCCGAGGTTCTCAACAAGGCCCTGTCTGGACTCTCCTCAAGGTCACCCTCAGAGTCGGACACATTTAGTTCTCCATGTTGTTCTGGGTGCGCTTTTGTAAACTTTTTGTTGTTTGTTTTCCCCCGTAGATGGAAGAACTGGTGGGTACGAGGCATCCTGACACTAGCCATGATCTCCTTCTTCTTCTTCATCATCTACCTGGGCCCCATGGTGCTCATGATGATTGTGAGTACCAGCAAAACCTCTGCAGTTTTCAACCATCAAAAATTAGAAACCGCAGAGAAAACCGTGTTAGACGTGCTCAGCCTTCGCTTAGAGCAGCGAAACAGAGGCCTGGTTGTTCGACCTGCTGGAGTTACGAAATATAAAACCAGTAAGAAATGCCTCTGGGAATTTTTTTATAGCACTAACCAGCTGCACCACACAGAATAAATTAGCTTACTCTATGACTCCTCACAATATTGAAAGCTCACATTACCTCTGTCTGTTTTGTGACATTCTGAACAGTCATTTGACTTCGCAATTTGACGGTTCAAAAATGGGCCTCTGTCTCTTTAAGAAGCTCCTGCTAAGCTTTCCGCATAGCAACTAAAATCCCTCTGCATGTTTAACCCTTGCTTCTCCTACTCCATGTTCTGCTTTCCTCCGATTACGTTTTGTTGCATTTTTATGATTTTATTGCATTTTTTTAAAAAAACTTGAATCAAACCTTATGATGTTCTGTTCTTGTTTGAATGTTGAGGAAAGTGGAAAGGTTTTTCTTTTTTTTTTTTTTTTTTCCATTCTTATGATGTAATGTAAACATTTTAAAGCCTGTCTGACTCTTCCTCATATAAACCTTTACAAGTCAGTTTTTCATGCGACGGTGTCTGTCTCTCACTGTTCAGGTCCTCTGCGTTCAGATCAAATGTTTCCATGAAATCATCACGATCGGGTACAACGTGTACCACTCCTACGACCTGCCCTGGTTCCGGACGCTGAGCTGGTGAGGCCTGCATCGCTAAAATACGAACATCTAATAAAATAAGCCGTCTTGGTTCGTTTCTCATTATATTGTCTTAATGTTTTACGTTGCAGATGTCCTGAGGTTTGTTTTCTGGCCTCTTGTAGTTTGTTCACATTGTAGATTGTTCCTTATGTGTCTTTTATTTAAAATATCTATATATGTTTTTTTTTCATATTTGTTACAATTGTCAGTATGTCATGAAGGTATAAGACAGACAATTTGGGAAAAAATCTGCATTCTCCCACTACAAACTGCAGAATTACGCCATTCAGAAATAACCAATCAGAGCCAGGAGGAGGTTCTTAGTGCTGTCAATCACTCTTGTTCTCACCCCCTCCAGCTTGCACAACAGCTATTTCACCACATAGTAGCCTTCCATTAATGCTAAGGCTAGTTAGCATAGCCAGCGATGAAGGTGTATAAACGGTCAGTTGCAGCAGCAGCTAACCGAGATTGATTGACATCGCTAAGACCCGCCTCTTGGCTCTAATTGGTTGTTTTTTTGTTTTTTTTTACCAATTATCTGTCTCGACATAGTGATAGTTCTAATAAATATTGAAAAGACATATTTTTGTAAATCCGTAACTAATAGCAGATTTGAGTTTTAGCACTAGTAGGAAGCGCTGTAGCTACTTTTATGCCACAAGCCTGAAAAAGACCTGAGGGAAAACAAAAGTCTGTTGCAGAACACACGTATGTAAGCTGTCCAGGTTTTCTTCAGGCGTGGCACCCTCTGATTGGTCCGTGTTTAACCGCCACCCCGTGCCCTGCAGGTACTTTCTGCTGTGCGTGAACTACTTCTTCTACGGCGAGACGGTGACCGATTACTTCTTCACGCTGGTGCAGAGAGAGGAGCCTCTTCGCATCCTCAGCAAATACCACCGCTTCATCTCCTTCGCACTTTACCTCACAGGTACGGCCGGAACGGAAAGTTTTTTTTTTTTTTTTTTTCCCTGGACAGCGGTTACGTTTTTCAAAACCGTTTTATGGGGGAAAATAACTCACCTGCACAGTAAGGCTGCTGGAAATGAAATCAAGTAATGATGACAACATCATTCAAATTCACCAAACAACTATTTGATATAACATGTCTTGAACTAATACTGTTAGTTTTGACCTAATCAATTTAATGTTTGTGCTATGGGGTGAGGGGCCTCACAAAATCATTCCCCGGGCTGCAAAAGGCCCTCGGGCCACACTTTGATCACAGCAGCAAGGCTGCACAACATATGGTGGATATATTGTGATTCCAATGTAAATATGTGGAACATGATCATCACAAAGCAGTGTTTGAAGCACATTGTTTCTTTGCTACAAAGCTCTAAGTGCTATGAACATGCAGATGCTCACATTGGACTAACTGCAAACGTTAAAGAGACTAGAATGAAAACCGGCGTACAGAGCAACAAATATCGTCATCAGAAAATTTTATGACAGGATTAAAAAAATTGCAATTAATTTTTTTGTGTTTTGTTTCCAATTTTGTGCAGTCCTAATGTGCAACATAAAATGTTACAGTTTCAATTTCAAATTTTAGAACAACTTTTACATCAGGGGGGGTCCTTTACTATCTGGAGCGAGGCCAGCAGAGTGAGCCCTTTCCACAAATAAAGACCTTCGGTCGTCTTCTACTGCATGAACAAACATACAGAGGAAACAAAAGCCATGCTTTTCTTTTGCCTTTACACCAGTAGCAAAAAACATTTGTTGTTGTAAGAAACACAGGCCACAAAGCCACAGGTAGGAAACCTGGCATGTGACCAGGTTGTGGTAATATGCTTGAATGTCCCAGTCAAAGTCCAGATCCTGTTGGAGAACTTTGAAAAATATTAACGGACATTCTCCTTCCATTCGGTCTGTATGTGAGAAGCTGGCAGAAACACCCCGACAAGTTTTAATTGCAGCTGAATTCCTAGCTCTTCAAATCCTGATCTGCATCGTCAGGTTGGATCGGTTGTTTCCGTCACTGAGCAAACCTTCACGTCTCACTTCCTGAGCTGCACAGCGTCAGTTAGTAACTCAGCGCTGCTGCAGCCTCTGACTGCCACCAAACAGGATGTGGGGAGGCGGGAGGAAGCACCCAAGCTTTTTTTTTCTTTTTTTTTCCGACCTGAGCTGAAGTTTCCTTCAACTGTGAAAACTATTTCACAGTGCCGTTTTCCTTTAAACTTTTAAACCTCACACTCCAGTCGTACTTCCTTCCTTAAGTCTATTTTCAGCGAGAGCGCTTCCTGTCCATCTTTGCCTCTCAGCTTCCTCTCCTCACATCAGCCACGGAAACAAAAAGGCAAAGGGCCCCTAATGTTGGCGCCTGAAATGGGCCAAGCTAAATTTAGTTTGATCTCAAATGACCTCATTTGTGAACAATTTAGTCTCCTCCCCCTTTACATGTGTTCATCTTTTCTGGTGCTCCTGCAGGTTTCTGCATGTTCGTGCTGAGCTTGGTGAAGAAACATTACCGCCTTCAGTTCTACATGGTGAGTGTTGGCCCCGCCTCTTCCTGCCGTCTTCCCAACATTTAAAATGTAAAACCAGAAAACATCAGTTGTGGACTGAGATGAAAAGTAACGACCGAACATGTGTTAGTGTTGCTATGCCGACATGATTTCAATCAGAAAGTTTCTCTGCCTTAAATTTCCTCTTTGTTGGTGTAAAAAGCGAACATCCAGGTCGCTCTGCCCTGCACAGAAAACCAATTACTGACAGTAAACCGGCTCTGCGGCTAGCTAATGGACGTTTCAGCTAATATCAGGAGAGATTTATGTGTAAATTCAAGCTTGTATAATTCTGACCTGCTGCTTTGGAGAGAAAAATTAATAAATTTCTGCCTATGCGTTGCAGTTGGGTTTGGGTTTTTTTTTTTCAGAGCTCTTCTTGTTCTGTCCTCAGTTCGGCTGGACCCATGTGACTCTGCTGATCGTAGTGACCCAGTCCCACCTCATCATCCACAACCTGTTCGAGGGGATGATCTGGTGAGTCGTCAAGTCCGCACCAATGCCACTAATTACCTCGTCTTGTTTTTCTCTGTGGTGGTTCGGATGATAGATCTCGGGATTTTAATTTTTTTTCCCCCCCCTCCTGAATAGGTTCATTGTTCCCATTTCCTGTGTGATATGCAACGACATCATGGCCTACATGTTTGGTTTCTTCTTCGGCCGAACGCCGCTCATCAAGGTAGCATAAAAACATTTTAATGTGTTTCTGGGAGCGTTTAGTAGGCCTGTCGCAATAAATCAATTAATCGCATGATAAATTAAAATGAGCTTGATGTTTTACATTGGCATGCTTCCTTTTTTGGGTGAGGGGTCTCAACTGATTTGGTCTCAAATGTCCCCCTTTTCTGAAGGACAATTTTGTTGGAAGATACCTTCGTGTCATTTTCTTTCGTTGTTTGGGTTTCTTAGGTTGTTTTGGTTATTTGGTTTAGATATTTGAAATGTCTTCCAGTTCCTATGATGGTATTTTGGGGTCATTGTAGATAAATACTTTTTTTTAAAATAGTATATTGCACCAAAAAAATGTTGAAATTTTTGAGACTAATCTTTGACTTACACTTACTTTATTGTCACTGCACAAATATATAACAGTGAATTTGGCAGCAAAATGTTTTTGGTTGGCTACCGGGGAACAAAGAATAAAATCTGAAAAGTTTTCTAAAAGTTTGACTTTGAACAGTCGAACAAGTTTTACTTTTGAAGCTCATACATTTCTAGAAAAGTTTTGAGATTGTCCCAAAATGTTCAACTTCTGCAAGAAAACCTTTTTCTTGATCAATCTACAAAATTTGAGATTGTTGGCAGAAATGTACTCCGTTTTTTTTTCATGTCTGCAATGGCCCTGATATGCCGTCGTAAGTCCCAGTCTGAAATGTTCGTTAAAAATTAATGTTTGCTGACCTTTCAGATGACCTAAATAGATTGTGGTACCATTCTCATTACATGACTTGAAAATTGTCTCAAGAAAATATTGTCGTTTGCTGTGATAACGTCTGGGACAATTTATCGCCCAGTGTCAGTCAATAACAAATCAAGCTGCCTAAACTATGCTGAGCTAGACGTGACAGTGTGTGAATGTTTGATTTTGCCTGTTGCAGCTGTCGCCTAAGAAGACCTGGGAGGGATTTATCGGTGGATTATTCGCCACTATTGTGTTTGGTATTCTGGTGAGACGTACATTTAATCTCTAATTGCTTTAGGACTTCTGAAGTCTTGCAAAAGTCATATAGTGTAACTGAAGAGTGTCTTCCTCCTCCCCTGTCAGCTCTCCTACGTCATGGCTGGATACCGCTACTTTGTTTGTCCTGTGGAGTTCAACAACGACTCCAACAGTTTCCAGGTGGACTGTGAGCCATCAGAGCTGTTCCAGCTGCAGGACTACACCCTGCCAGGAGTCCTGGAGTCCGTCACCGGATGGGTATGACGACCTTATCCCTAATGGAACGCCGGTTTTATAAAAATAGCAAGGACATGTCTGTAAGTCATGCTTCACAAGGCAAGATTTACAAAACCCAAGAGATTCCACCGTACTTGGCGATTAGAAAACAAAAACGCAGGTGCAGCAGGTTTGGTTGTACCACCGATGTCACTCGCCAACATCCAGATGTCGGGTGGGAAATCTCGCAAAACCTCTCAAGACCAAACATGAGCTCAGAGTAAACTAGCATGGCCAGCTGGGAAGAAGTGTTGATAATCTGGGAAATCAGGACAAAAATAAGCGTAAAAGTTTAACCGTGTGAACCACGGGGACAGAGCACAGAGGAAAACGTGGAAGAATGATGGCCTCCGACTGTAAAGATAACAAGGAAGAGAATAACCGCTGTAATAAATTACAACACCACTCAAATGTATACAGACAGCTACAGGGCATGGAAGAGAACATTCAGTCTGTTTTCAGGACGCATGAGGCGGTGCAGCGATACCTGCGTGAGCCGCGACAGTGTGACACCTGTTCTCCATTCCTTGTCTCTTCCTTATGATGGGAGATAAAATAGCCATTTCTGTCAGTGTTGAAGTGAAAAAGTCAACTGTTCTTGTGGCTCTAGGCTTTGAGACTGCTAATTTGAATGGCATAATTTTTTGCTGACATCAGCAAACGGCATAGGGGCTTTCAGAGGAAACGCCGCAGCAGTGATATTTAAAGCAACCTAAGTCCGAAACTGACAAGTTTCAGATCCATAATACATTTCAGGACTGTGATACAGTCAGAACCTTTCCACACCGGCCCACAGAGATCGCTAAAGCCAAGATTACGAACAAACAGATCCTAGAAAATGGAGGGCAATCTTTGACCCTCCCTGGTAAATAGATGTTGGGTTCGGTAAACTAGCTCCCTGCTGGCCGTGGCTGTTAGCCTCCAACCCTGTCCTCTTGTGTCCACAGACCACCGTGCGTCTGTATCCGTTCCAGATCCACAGCATCGCTCTCTCCTCCTTCGCCTCCATCGTTGGGCCCTTCGGTGGCTTCTTTGCCAGCGGCTTCAAGAGAGCTTTTAAGATCAAGGTAGGAGGTCCTCTGGAGGCGCTCACCAGCTGAATAAACTGCTTTTGCTCGTTGCTTTTTTGCAGCCGTGTATTTGCATCACTTTTGAAATCTGACGCACATTGAAAGCTCGTCTTCTCTCCTTTCAGGATTTTGCCAACACCATACCGGGTCACGGAGGCATTATGGACAGATTTGACTGCCAGTACATAATGGCCACATTCGTCAATGTCTACATTGCCAGCTTCATCAGGTAAACTCTCACATGCCTGTGTCGATCCCTCTGACCTTAAAAAGGGCTGAATAAACCACTGGAGAGCTGTGAACTCCAAAAACGCAGGGAAAGTTTAATCTGTCACAATCAGACACAAGCATCTTTTTATGTTTAATGCTGAATTTTACCTTGGATATCCCCACAAGAGTGATGCATTTATTTTATTGTTTGTTTTAATGGACGCTGTTTATGTGCCTTGTTTCTGTCTTAAACTCACCTTGATTCTCGATATGAAACAAAACTGACTGGAAAGCAGCAGCGTCACCCTCAAGTTTAGCCAGATGCATCTACTTCAATTAATGGATATGCACTTAATTGTCTTTTGTTGGTTTATCAGAATCAAATTAGCTGCAAGACCTTTTGTTTAGTGTTGTAGTTTGGCTCCCGTCCAGCAGAGGGCGCCACTGGTCTCCCTGAAGCGGAGCCAGAAACAAAGATGGCGGTACTGCAGCTTAAATTATACACATGACATGGAAAGGTCAGAGTTGGATCTATTTTGCTCACCGCCAATATTTATATTGGAGAAACACTGAGATTCTGTGGCTCTGATCTGCCGGCACTGAATTCTGTTGTTTCCAATAACGACGACCAATGAGAAAATAAGTTTTCTCAGGGAACCCATGGATTATTTGTGAGCGAGGACACATCAATGAAAACCAAGAAAAAGAGAAAGAAAAAAAAAGGCTCATTTGAAAATGTAATGGCCGCAAAAATAAAACAATAATTTGTCAAAATGAACTAACATTGGCATCATCCGATATTAATAATTTTTTAACATGTCGGTATAAGTCCGATAAATACAACTGATTGGATTTTTATATATCCAATCAGTCGTTCATTTTGCTTCATATTTGACATCTTGCAGTAAGGATAAAGCCCCTCACCTCTATTTGTTTTTCCTTTTCAGAGTATTTACGTTTGACTCCTGTCTCCTTTCCTTTCAGGGGCCCCAACCCAAGTAAGGTGGTCCAACAGCTCCTGGCCCTGCGGTCCGACCAGCAGCTCTACATCTTCAACTCCCTGAAGGCTCACCTGACGGAGAAGGGTCTGCTGCGAGCCGCCGAGGCGGCCGCCTAGCCCGCCGGCGCCCTCAGGGAACCCGTGGATTATTTGTGAGCGAGGACACATCAATGAAAACCAAGAAAAAGAGAAAGGAAAAAAAAACATAACATTCATCTTTGGGCCATTCCATTTTATTTAGGGTTGGAGCGTTGTGCCTCTGTGCTTGACTGCTCTGTGGGTCTTCATTCTGTGTTTTCAGCTTCGGTTAAAGTCCAGCCCCTCATTACCAGTGTAGCCGATATATTGAGTTTTTGTTTTTCTTTGAAATCAACACTGTTAAACTAAATGTTGGTCATTTAGAAATGTGATTGTACATTTCTGCTTGTTTACACAATATTCTTTGATATTATCGGCTCACGTGTGTTGATGTTTTATCGTACGTCTTTTTTTTTTTTTTTAATCTAAAGGAGTGCTCTAAACCACGTTAACACACTGTAATGTTACTGCAGCTTCACCCTCCCACCTATGAATAGCTACGTTTTATTTTGGTTGTGATTGTTGTTACTATTTATACAGAGACGGTTTTTATATTTCAGATGTTCTATTGTGTCTTAATGTCTGTTTTATTCAGGCAGTTGTGTGCATTTTTGTATCTTTTTGTTACGTCGTTTTGTTTCAGTTGAGCCATTTCCAAGCCTTTCGCGCTTGGCCAAATCATTAACATCACATCATCATGTCGATGTCTGAATTCCAACCAAACCTTTCAGTCGCGAAAATTCCTAAAGCAACCGTGTTTTCTAAAATATCTCTCTGTAGGCCAGCGACCTCACTCTCAGCTCTTTGCTAGCTTTCATAAGTTTTTTTTTTTCAACTCTCCCGCGGTCATAGCTCGACGCTCAGGGGAAGCGCAGCAGATGTCACGATCAGTCAGGGGGGAAGACGGTAATTTCCTGAAACAACACACGCAAGTAAGCAAATCTCGTGAAAGCCCACATGGGGTCCAAATAACACCTTCTCTTCACACCATGGGAGGGTTAAAGTCTTTTTTTGTTTGTTTTTTTTGCTGCATCCGACTTGCTGTTTGAAGGTTGTTTCTTATTTCACCTGTTGGGTGCCACGACGGTTGGGATAGTAACATTTTTGGGGGCACAATGATTCCTGCACTGCCATTTCTGATGCTGTGTGTCGTTCGGCAGCATCACAACAGAGACGCTCCGCTCACAAAGTTCATACACTGAACATCAGTAAGGATATTAGCATGTTGGGCTAAGGCACATCCGCTAACGTTGCACCTTGCCAATACTGTATGTGTTCATTCCTCTAGGTTTATTAGTCATTTTATGTGTTATTTATGCCAAGTGTGATTTAATAGTAAAGCATAAGCTTAAGCCTATGTGGTGTTTGGTTTCTTTACAGGTAGCATGTTTGGTCACTTTAATAGGCACACCAGTAGGTGTTTAGGTTAGCATAGAGAAACGGCAACACGTGTTCAGATTTGTTTTTTTTCATTTAGCTAATGCCAATATTCCAGATGATTTATTTATGATTTTCTAGATATAATTTGTTCTAACCTGAGCTCAGCAATTTGGAAACGTCTACAACACATCTGTTGCCACAGCCGTCAGATTTATTGGCATTCTTGTGCCGTCTGGAATTTATTAAAACATCTGTATTAATTTAGCTCTTTTATTGATGCTCCACCTTGGTTATTTTTATTCATTTAACTAGGATCTGACTTCTGGAGGGCAGAAACCTTTGTAGACTCCCTGTCGTAATTAATTCAACAGTACATGCAACGCTGACCAGCCTTTGGGTTTACCTGTAGGTGATTTAAGCATTTCACTCTTCCACACCTTATGCAAGCGCCTTCTGGCAAACCCAGCGGCCATTGGCAAACCCAGCGGCCATTTTTGAAATATCGGCTTAATGACCTCGTGTTTTTTTTTTTTTTTTCCCCCTCTCACTTTTGACATTATTCTGGTAGCAACATTCCTATGTGGATTACTTCTATGTCACTTTTTTCTATCAATTTGGCAGCAAACGTTTGCCAAACTTCTCTGAGTATAAGACATTAGACATGCTAAGATGATATTTGACGTTTTTTAAAAATATTTCCCTACATTATTTGCTGAATGTTACTTTGTAGCCACCCCGTTTTATTTCTCCTTTTTCTCTACTGGGAATTTAATGCAACATTACATTACGAAAACATGCAATCCAAGTATTATTGTACAGGACTGTAGTATCAAAACTCACATTTACTGTCGGTTTCCTTTCAAACACTGAAATGTCTCCGATCCATTTGAATTTCTTTCACTAAAATCTGTATCAGGCGTGGGCATCGAGGGCAGCAAAGTGTTTCCCTTCTTCGATGCCTGGTAACAGAAATGCAATACCGTACCAAATTACATCCACGCAGTCTTTCTGTGATTATGAAATTACACGACTAACGTGATCCGATATATTGTGCAGCTCCACCAGAATATACCAAAATGTTCCTGTTTCTGTTGGTCTATTTCAGTTTTTTTTTTGCCAATGCATCTTGAAGAGCGTGAACTAAAATAAGAAATTTAGTTTTCGAAGTTTGTTTTTCCATCCTCCTCTAAAGACATTAATTATTCAAGCTTGACATTTTGTAAGATTATGTGTTACCAGAGTTAAAATAAAATTTGATTAGCAATCTTAATATTATCATTTTTTTGCACTAATGGGTGTTGTAAAGATTTGGTTCAAAGGACCCTTTAGTCTTTTTAACTAAAACAGATGATTTCTGTTAGTATGATGGAATAAAACCAATATTTGTAACGATGCATGATAAACTACATTTGGTGTAGTAGCGGGAAAGGAAAGAGACGGTAAATAGTGGCTTCTTTTAAACGTGTTCTTGGTATTTGTGTTTATTTTATATACCATCTTGTGGTTTCTTCGGCTGTATAACCCAGACATCACTTTTACCTGTTTGAATTGATTATTGACGTCATTCGAGACGTCATCTTTCTCAAGATATTTATTTATGAACTCTGCTGTAATTGTAAAATATATGTTGGTGTTCTTATAGTAGTTTTTGGAAAAAAAAAAAATTGTCGCCATGTGCGGGGAAAAAAAAAAAAAAACAAGTGTAAAAGTAGCCGAAGAGTTTCTTCGCTGTTGCCGTGGTTGCTGTTGCTCCTGTCCTGCTTACGTAACTTCCCCCCAACCCCCCCGGCGACAAACCTAATATTCGGTTCAGCAGCTCAGCACTGCCCTTCCTCCCACCTGCCACCAGAGGGAGCCAGAGCTCCTGTGCGCAGCCTGTTGACTGTGACCTTAAGGCTGTACATAAATGGAGACATTTGGCCATTTCTTACTTCTGCTCAGAACAATCCGCTGCCCTTTTATGAACAAGTTAGTTGAGTAGATAAACGTTTTGTTTTCGTTCGTCTTCAGGGCTCCACTGACCTGTTGTGCACTGTGTTTTGCCAGGAGGAATGTAAAGGGAGTCATGTCTGTCCATCGTGCTGTGCAGGCTCTCCTATGTGGAACATTTTACTTTATTATACGCATAGATCACCTTATAAGTCTGTAAAAAAAAAAGAAATCTGTATATCTATTTATCTGTGCAATGGTTTGGTAAATTGTACAATATCTAGAAGTATTCTTTAACGCTGAAATGTGTTTTTGGCTATGTTCAGAGAGGAAAAAAAGTAAATGTATTTAAAGACAACAGGAGGCGTACTCTGACTTCTTCCTTCTCTTTTTTTGTTTTGTTTTCATCTTCCCCATTTTGAAACTTATTCGGTCAATTTCCTCTCACCAGCCTCTATAAAATGCTCTCATTTTGTTGGACGACAGAGACAGTTCTGTCTCCCACTAGGATTGGACTAGGCCTGTACCTCTTGGAGAAGTGGGTATGTAGATGCAGCAGCTGGATGGATTTGTGCCCATGCAGCCTGAGCGGTGAGGCAACATGCTTACTGAACCAGTCATAACAAGAGGCATAAAACCATTTCCTTTTAAGAAGACGCTGGCGGTGGTTTCTTCTTCTTCTCTCGACACCGGTGAACATCAGTCACTTGAAGACTCTGCACTGCAAATCCACTTCCTGGCCCCTCTCCCCACCATTTGGTCAGCTTCATGAAGACGGGCAACCAACATGGAAACGGAGGCAACATGAAGGGATGAGTTACAAACTGCTACCTGGAGGAAAAGGGGAAAAAAACTAAACAAAACCCCCAGAGCAATTAACACACAGGAAACCGGAAGTGTGATCTGCATTATCATCAGTTTGCGTGTTTTAATGTGTGCGTGCGAGAGAGAGTGTGTGTGGCGTGTGTGCGTGTGTGTGTGTTTTAGCAAAAAGGTGCATGTGGAAACTTAAGCGCCTTACCTGCGCCGTTGGAGAATGTCTCTGAAACTACCTCGGAACTGGGACTTCAGCACCTTCAAGACGGAGACGGCTCGGATAGGTAAGGCTGGCTGGCTGGCTGTCAGCCGGGATGCGATGCTTCCTCTATGCATGTTTCACACACACTGGAGGCACTTTGAGCAGATGTCGTCATCCAGAGACAAAAAACAAAAACAACGCAATTTTCTTCTTTACTTGCTTCTCTGTTGACTTTCAGCTTTGGGGATTTGTCACACAAATGTGACTTGTTCGTGTGACAGAGGTAGAGATAAAAAAAAGACGACAGCCGGAGTGTGCCTCCAGTGTTCTCAATGTGGGTTTTTTCCGTGGTTGAACCATCTATGCAGATGATAACCAGATTTGCTTTTAGAACCTTACCTGCAACGCAAATCACTGTTATCCGTTTTCTACCGTTCTCTGTTTCGGACGCGTAGGACTATTAAAAGTGTTTTGCAAGTGGTTCACCATTTCCACGTTTGTGTGTTTTTGCAGAAGTGTTTGTGCGGGAGTATTTCAGTCACTAATACCACACTGAGCTGTGTTTGCACAGGGAGAACTCGGTGAGGCGGCTTGCCTTAGTTCCTCTCACGACACGGCGGTTGCCGCATCCACGCAAGCGGAGGTCCTGAAGGGGAGGCGTTTCTGTCTTCTCTCTAATCGGGTTTTACAATCAGCCCACACTGTATGTTCGGCGCACTGGAAGGAAGTAGCTGCTCTCATTCGTGATCACTTGATCTACTTCTAAAGTAACTTCCACTGCCAACCGTGTCGTGGTCTTAACTCTTTCACTGTATTGAGGGATCCGGTTCTGAAATGCTCATGACCGTCAACTTGTCTTCATCAGACCATGACGGGTGTCTGATCTGTTGACTCAGAAGTTCACCAATGGAGGCTATCAGCAGGAAACTGATGCAAGAGCTTAGTTTCTGCAGAAGTAGCTCTGCCTACCTGTACATATGAGCTTAGAGTGGTGTGTGTGTACTTACTTACTCTTGTCTCTGTTGCCTCTTTAGGACCTCTTGGCAATCACTTGCATACCCAGGTTCTAAGGATGCTTTCATCCAGGCCGGTGCTGATGCAGTGGAATATTGTTTTTGGGATGACAGGTCGAGTTTAGGGTATGTGGCAAGGCTAGGTGTTGCACAAATGAATGAAAGTTGATACCGTTTCCTTATACAGAAATGAAAACCTGTGTGTGTGTCTGAGCGTATTTGTACAATCATGCTATGTAACATCCCTTCATGCGGATTTGAGAGGTCAAGTTCAGACCTTTGGGAGTGAATGTTGCAAACCTGACACAGGATTTCCTGATGATTTCATTCAGCACTGCAGGAACTATTCAGAGAATGTTTTGACACTTTGCAACATCCACATGCAGCATTTTGTGTGTAAGCCGCAAAGTTGTGTTTTGGCCAGACAAGCCTGTTGATATGTTTATATAATAATAAAAAAAAGTTGGGTTTTTTTACGTATGAACTGTCATTATATCATGACAGCATAGTAGTTCAAGATAATCTGAGACAAAATCGAGCTCCTCTTCCTAATGCTACTGCTGTCATCTGAAGAAATGCACAGATCAGAGCCAATCAATCAATCAATCAATCAATCAATCAATCAATCAAGTAAAGTACCTGCTGCTGAATGTGCTAATGTTACAACTTACACTGTCATCACTGCCCATGCTAACTATCCTTAGCACTGGTGGCAGGATATGTTGTGTTGTACCAGTTGTAGCTTAGCACATATCAAGCCAGATAGGATGAGCAAAGCAGTGATTGACAGAGCTAAGGCCCTCCTCTTTGCTCTGATTGGTTGTTTTTGATTAAATGAAATGTATTCCTCATTCATGTACGCACTGCTAAATATGCTATTAGCAAAGAAACAACTTAATGTTACAGGAAACCATTTATTCATCATCCTCAGCGGTCATGCTGACTGGCCTTAGAAGTCATGACAGGCTCTGTTTTGGGAACTAGCTGTAGCATAGCAGAGAAAGAGGGAGTATGAGCAGCCTGTACATGAGGTGATTGACAGCACTAAGACCCTCCTCCTGTCTGATTGGTTGTTTCTGACCAAGCTGGAGACCATTTTTTTCCAGATTATTTGTCTCGTGCTATACTGTGAGATAGTGCCATCTTTAACAAATATATTTTATATATATATATATATAGATGGATAAATAGATATTTTTGTTATTTACATACCCCAGATTTAAATTATTGTTTTGTTTGTTTGTTTGTTTTTACTACGGTGTCTTTCAAAAGTATTAAAAACGCCTTTATCGAATAAATAAAGGCGTTTTTATTAAAAACTGCGTGTTTTTCTCTATTCATGCCGATGTACGTATCTAAATAAAAAGAATTAATGAATAAAGGAGAGAATATTAGGATACTTTGTGGAAAGGAAAACGACGTGCCTTGTTTATGATCCAAAAACAAACCGAAAACCCTGCTGCTAACAGAAAGTGGTAGGAAGTCCTGTCTGCAGATTGCCACGAGCCCAGTGAAAACACAATAACAGGCTGGTCTGGCCAAAACACAACTTTGCGGCTTACACACAAAATGCTGCATGTGGTGGACAACTAACGCTGCACACTGACCACACTGAGAAACAGGCAGGTGGCAGCATCATGCTGTTGGCATTACATATTTACGTATTTACTAAGGGTTGAGGAAGAGGCAGAGAGCTCGATAAACAGCTTCTACATGAGACTGGGCTGATGGTTCTAGACTACACATGCAGCGTAGAAAAAAATTATTTTCATGTGCTAATGTGGTTAAAGTACAGAGCGAGAACTAGTTCATAATCTATATTAAAACATATCATGATCTGTGTTAAGGCATTTTGTTCATAGTGGCTATTTATGCCAACATTTTACATTTTTATTTGGAATAAAACAGAAAACCATATGTTGTTCACTCAACATCACATTATGTATGTGTCGCTTTGTGTAATTTGACCCCTATAAAAAATGCATCGATGTGTGAAAGTGTCGAAATCTGAAAACGTCGAAGGGGCGGTATCACGTTTGCTTGGTGATGCTCATACAGTTGATGTCTGTTGAACAGGAAGCAGTCTGATCATGTCGGCTTTTGAAACGCAACATTCAGTGTCCCGTGTTTCTTTTTCCTGGCATATGTTCTCACCACAGACAGAGAACGTGGTCTGAGTAGAGGCAGGGGCTGGAACACCTTCACAAGGTTAGGAAACAGAAAATAGCTGAGACATTGAGAACAGATGTGTTTGTTTGTTTGTTTTTAGTTTTGTTTTTTTGTCTGCAACAGCAAATTAAAGTCATTTTACTGAAATGGTTGAGCCTCCATGAAGGCAGTCCATAAAGCACAGATAGTTTAAATTAGGATGGATGATGTATTAGTACTCACTTCGGTATCAATGATAATAATATTAGTCATTAATGAACACGTTGGTATCGGTCTGATAAATAAAGGTGAGCTGATGTTAATAACCAATATTTATTTCCCGTTGCCTTTTGCTTTTGAAGGGGAGGCAGAAGGGGGTTGGTCATGTGATAAAGATGTTGATGCAGCACAGGATTGTGGGTAGTTTAACTGAAGCCACGTGGAAGTCGGTGGTGTGTTTATTTCCAGGTGTCGAATGGCAGGAAAATTTATGTCTATACCAGTTATGCTGTATATTGATATCAGCCCAAATGTTCATATTGGTGCTGCCCAAGTTTAGATAAAGAGAGATAGAAATCTAAATGAACAGATTGATCTGTATGTTCTCACTCCAAAAACATATTTAGCCCCAATGATGAGGTGTTTACAATCATGTTTACATGAATCCATATTCGCTGTCCACCTCATTGCTCCAGATCATCAAACTGCTGGGCTTTGTATGCTGATGATGGTAAAGACATTGCTACAGGCTAAATAGAGGAGCCATGTTATGACGGTTCCCTGATGGCTGGAGTTATTAAAGTGACAGAGGCCCAATTTCAAAGTATTAAATTAAATATTTTAAGTCATATTTGATATCTTTTAAATTTTTTTAACAACTAAACTTAACATAGTCACTTGATTGTGCTATAAAATGGCATTATTAATGCTGCCCCTTTGCTGGGCCTCCATGTTTGTCTTAGAGAGATCAAAGTGATGATGTCAAGGCCGCCGTGACACGGCAGGTCCAGTTTGAAGCGAGGATGTGTGTGGGCTCGTGGTTTGATCCCAGCGCTGTTCAAGTCAGACCAAAGGACTCTCAGGCTCGTAGGTGGAGACCTTCAAAGCGTAGAGCGAGCCTCGGGCAGGGATGTTACAACTTCCTGTTTACCCCTGAGCCGCCCTACTTCTTCTTCTTCT